AAGAAAAAGTTTTTAGCAGTAGAGGGTTTGACTTTAATATGGTGGGAAAGTTGTTTATTTTAATGCCTCTGCCGCTTAAAGTTTATCAGTGAAATGTAATATAAAATGTGCACTACGGCATTTTTCCACACTACAGGATATGTAACGCTTTTGAAACTCAAAAGGAAACTTTCACTGCTGTGTCTGACTGTACTGCCTGTCACTGTAAACTGATCGACCAAAACCGAACAACGCTGGAAAAGGGCGGCTGCGTGCGTGAAAAGAAATGGAAGCTACATAATGACTCACTCAGGCTGTCAAGAGTCTATAAATCAGCCACAGTCACCCCTGAGAAGCCCAAAAGAGTCCCCCTGTTCCAGCCATGTACTCACCCTCCAACAGACACCTGTCTGTAGTCGAATGATGACTTAACTCGCTTTTTTTTTAACTCTTTTTCCATTCGATTTGATCTCCATCACAACAGAAAGGCACGAGGTGGTGGAGCTGGTCAGCGGCAAAACCCAGAATTAGTTGTAGAGCACAGCAAGAGAGACGGAGAGGATGAAGGGGTGTGAAGGAATGCAGCTGTTCAAACAGCTCTTTGATTTAGTGGTCACAGCTCCCCGAGTGACTCACTGTGGCTCAGACACAGAGGAGATCACTTAGCCGGCCGTTCCTCCGGTCCAGTGGTTTTCAGCGCTCTGTTTGCCCCCCTTATGCGTGTGTGTGTATGTGTCTAAAAATGACGAATATTCTTTCCCTGTATGGACAGTATTTGCTGATCACTTTTGTGTATATATTCCTAAATGTTCCTTTTCATTAAGATATAATCAGATATTGGCAAACTGGTGGCAAAGGTCAAGCTACACAACTAAAAAGCTATTTTAAAAAAATGTAACCACTTAAAGTATTGTTGACTATTCCAAGTTTCATTTCCCAAAATCAGCATCTGCTCTTGATAATAAATCTAAATTTGAAGATACACAAGAAGGTGGAAAAACCAGATATGAGAAGATACAGCTGTGTGGTATTTTCTCTGTTTTTGTTGTAGCCTACATCCATACAGAAATACCCCAGAAACCCAAGACAAACCATTTTGGCATGCGTCACTACGGTTAACAAACTATGCAGAATTACTCAGTATGTTTTGTCCAGGCCAGGATCAAATGTGTGGGGAACGCAGCTGACCACAAGAAATATGACCAGCGTGTAACAGGCTTCTGATTCAAAGGTGTCCCGTACACTTTACTTACAAGGAGAGTTTTTTTTTTTTTGTAATGTAGAAAGACCATGTGGTCATCCTTGACCAATCTTTTTTTTTTTTGTTAAACTTCTAGCTTTGCAGTATTACTTGATGATTGTTTTTGCTAGCTGTGTGTGTTAACGACAACTCAGGACTGCACACAGACCGAAGCTCATTCCGTCTCCTTTCACCAGAGTGCCGTTGTAACACATGCAGAATGTGGTTTTTGTTCTGCTTCACAAAGGTTTCACACAGTAACACCTTGCCTGTGATATTGATTAATGGGCTTTCAGCACCATCCCAACTTTTGTGAAATTGTGGTGGAACTTCAGACCACTCGCCTATAGCGAGTTTTCCTGTTTTAACTATAAAAAAGTGCTTGAATGGGAGGATAACTTCCAAATAGCTTGATTTGCTTGACTTTGAGGTTCCCTTTTTAAAATCTTTCTAGGCAACGCTTTGAGACATTGGAATGCAAATAACTCCCTCTGCTGGGTTGGGAGTTGGGCTGTCGAGTATCTGCTCTAAAGACCACATGTCTGTACACTTTGCTGTGGGACTGCTGTTCAGCGTATGGAGTTAATGTACATATAATGACTTTGTGGCTTTACATTAGACAAAAGGTTGACACAAAGTCTCTGGAAAGAGCTGAAGTATATGTTATGGAACCTTTGAAACATGTCCCCTCAACAGGTAACCGGGAGGCCAAAAACATCCTCATTCTAAATGAAAGCATTGTAACTAAGAATAATTCCTATTTGGCTTCAAGCACTACTTTTTTTTTTTTTCTGAACCACACACAACCTGTTGTGCAGAGCAACTGTCTGTCAACCTACCCTGCTCCAACTCTGCCCACTTTCCTTTGCTAACAGGGGTCAGTGCAATCCAAAGAGCCACTTTGCTCTCCTCTTACTCTCTGACTGTGTCAACAGGCCCGAGCATGAGGTTTCGGTTTCCCGTGTGCACTTCTCACCTGCGCTCCACTGAAGCCACGCCAGAAATGATCGTAAAAAAAAACTGGAGCGCTTGCTCGCGTTCTGGCCGGCGGTGAATGTGCCGAGTGTGCGCTCGTGGTTTTGTGTGTGTGTGTGGAGGAGTGTGTCAGAATGCGAGGTCAGGTATCAAACAGGCCTCAATCCGGGGAGTGCTGCGACACCAGCTGAATCTGTGTGCGTGATGGAGCTGGAGAGCGAGCATCAATGAAAGCCTTGTGTTATCAGTCCTCACACACCCCCGCCGCCACCTCCGGAACTTTGATCCAAATGGAAACTGAAAGTGTCATAATGCCCATACTGTCAGCCAAACACTATGTTATGAGGAATTAATAACAGGCTCTTTCATTAGGGGAAAGGACGGCTGTTTTTTTGCTCTGATTTTCATCTAAATGGAATGGCTCCATAATTACTTCAACATTGAGGGGGCAGAACAGCGAAATTCAAAAAGAAAACATCTGGGATCAATGTGAACATTTTTCTTATTGCGTATTGAAGACAAATGTTGCTTTCACAGCGTTCGTCGTTAAAGAGCTGAGCCAGAAATACACAAACAACATCCAAACCACGCAAAGTTAAATGCTTCCAGCGAATCTGAAGGGGAAGTTTCTAATTCATCTTTTTTTTTTTTGTTCATTCTTTAGGTTACCACTCAAGACATTATGATATAGCAACGGTCCTGACAGCTGGTCAACATGTTGCATAACTTCCCACACATGTTTTGTATTTTATATTGTGCCACATGCTTTTATTTGGGAACAGATCCGGACTGCTGGGTTAGCCATAAACACGTAAACATGCCGTTTAGTAGATAACTAAGTATATAACAGAACTGCTGAAATAACCAAGACCTTCCATAAAACAGACAGGACAGGTAACTTTTATTACCGATAGCTGATAAGTTGAATGCGCCGCATCCGTAGTTTCCAGCAAAGGAATTTCCAGAGTTTTCCACCTCCCTTGTGTTTAAATAGGTTTTGTTCCACAGAAGGAGGAAGCATTTTCTGAAGGAGTTCCTGAGCCTGTGCAGTGACTCCCATGACAACATTTAGTTTGTTTTTTATTTCACCAGAGTGCCTGGAGATCTCCAAGTGAGGATTCAAAGCCCTGTCCTTCACACACAAACACACATCCGCACACACACACACGCACACAAACAGTTTCTAGATTCTCTGTATCTTTTGATATATATATTATATTCTTTGGGATTTAATTTGGAGGAATATTCACTATGATACGTAGCTCTAGCTTTTGCTTAATCTCCACTTCTGAGAGACTCTGCCTCTCTCAGGTGCTCTTTATATACCCAGCTGTGTTAATGACTTCATGCAAGTTGCAATATGTTGCTAAACGGGTTTACAGATAAATTGTTCAGGCTTTTGATTCCCCAGTCTGAATCATTTTTTGAAATGTTGTATTCATCAAATTAAGGAAGAGCAAATTTCTCCCCTTATTGAGTTTTTCCTGAGCTATTGTAAATATTAGATTGGTATCTAAGATTAAAATCTTGGTCCCTGCCATTTTTTTGTTTTACATTTAACACAGCATTCGAACAATTCTAAACTGGAAATGCACCTCAAGCTCAATTTGCTCCTCGGAGTCTTTCATCATTTGATGTATTATAGATTTTGGAGCCCCAACCACAGCTTCAGTATCAGGCAGTTCCTCAAAAAGTATTAAGATGATTTTGACTGACACATCTGAGTGAAAGCAAAAGAAAGAACCAAACAGTGACATCATTTGCTACTGTGGGTTTAAAGAGTCTCCATTCAAGCAGAAGCAGGTTATTTAAAGCATTAACGTCTATCAAATAATCATTTAAAATGTGGGAAAAAAACAATACTTGCAAGAAGTGAGGGTACCAACAATATTTACACTCCAGATGACAACATCATGCTTATTGGGCTGACATGAGACCTCCAGCAGTAGCACAACTGCTCTGTGCCAAAGAAGCTCTCTGCTGTCTTTTTTTTGTCTCACATCAAGGTTTTAATCTTAAATTAAGTTCATTTTCAACATCAATAAAATAGAAACAAATGTATTGTTCTTTTGCAAAAGCCAATAAACTTAAACGTGCACACAAATCTGTATCAGTTCACTACAATTGCAACGTTACTGATATTTCACTCGGGCTCTCTCTGACAGGAGTGAAAAAGTAACCAGAGAAGTGTATTTATATTGACTCTGGACATCTGCTGTGACTTGTGTGAGGAAGCAGCCAGAGGCTGAGCTCAGTGAGAGAAAAGGAACTCTCAGAAATTAAGAATGGGACACTGACACCGGAACCTTCCGGTGTCCGGAGCCTCCAGGGGCACGCAGGGCTTCATTTCCCAGGCTGGGCTGGGCTTGTGTGAGCACAGAAAAAAAAAAGGATAAACAGACAGCATTTCAAAACATAATTCCTTAGAGCGAATATAGAACTAAAACTGAATCTTCTGAGAGTGCAGTGTTACTGAGAATATCGGTAATGGGGTGAAGAAGTTTCACTGCTCAGTAAAACACTTTTTTTTCCTATGCTTAAATTATGGGCCGAATCGTACATTTTGCTATATAGATGTAGCTGTGCTATCTGAATCCCCATTATTTCTCCTTGCTGATGGCTGTTTTTGTGTATGGACAACTTTGATGGATTTGCACAGCGTGAAGGAAAGAAAATCAACACAGTGTGCCTGAAGATGGATGTCAGCCGTTTCATCATCTATCCCCTCAAGTGGTGAAACTCCAGGTGTGCGCAGCACGCGGCGACTTAAGGTGAAAGGAAATTGACAAAGAAGGAGAATAGAATTCTGCCTTTAAATGTTTCTTTTTACAAGCTTTATTTACAATGTTTCCATGTTTTGAGGTGTAGGAAGCACATTTCCATCAATATGTCCTCATTGAACAGATGTAAAATGAATCCCATCAAACTCGACACGTTTATTCTCTCAGCCCAGACACTTCCTATGCCACCATACTGTATGTACAAAGTGTTTGTATACAAGCAATAAAAAACTTGGCAAATGCAAGGTTATTTGCTACTTCAGTATGTAAAGGAACATTTTCCAATGAATTAAAAAATTAAATACAGCAAACACGACACATGTTGGGATTCTGACCTGTTAACAGCCTTATTAAGCTTATTTTTATTACCTTTATAATACATTTTCTGGACCAAAGTGCGATTTGAAGTCAAGAAATACTGGGCATTGATTTTAATTTACTCATGTATGACGGTGTTTCATGGATTGCTGCTTAAATTACTGTTTAAATGATTGCTCTTAAAACACTGAGAACAGATTCTGCGTTTTAGTTTGGCCATTTTAACGTCACTTTTCAATCAAATGACAAGTAATTGGTACTGAAAAGGTCAGAAAATTGTTCACACTGGCTGACCTCTGAAGTCAAGCTCAAATGAAAGATAATCACAGACAAATAAAGGCAAAAAGAAAAAAAAAATTCCAGTGGTCAGCTTGAGAGGGAGAAATGGAAACACCACAATCTGCTTAGAAAATATTAAAGACAATAACGGGTTTCCCCAAATCCCTGATATAATTTCAACAGGTCAACCACAACATGGATGGGTTCCATGATATACAGATTTCTCACCAAACCAAATCTCAGGGATGGACGGTTAAATAGCTCTGTGTAGTACAGCCTGCAGATCAAACGGGTTGTTAACCGCTGGTGGTTTGCGAAACTCAGGAGACCTGAACGGGACATGTCACCTCTTGGCCCTGCTCACACTGCAAATGTAATTTCACCACTCAGCTTTGGAAAACAACTTGATCTGACGGCTAATTTCCGCTGCCAACGTCATATCAAAGCAATTAAATGTGCATTTCTCTGCAGCTAACAAACTTTGTTGCCCTCCCAAAACTTAAGAACGAATGATTGTTTGCATGGTCACCACAGATTTAGTTCACCACCGAGTGAAGATGCTCTTGTTTTTTTTTTTGTTAGAGAGAACAAAAATAAAAAAGAAACCACACTGGTGAAACTGGAGGTACATGTTCTGTAACAGTTAGCAGAATTTGTTCTCCTTGTGCTGTAAGTCTTTGGAGACTGTTATGTTTACCTCCAATACGTCCGCTGTAACAGTATAAGTGATCATATAATAATACTAGTGATTAAAAAAAAGGAACAAATGTTAACACTGCTGTACAAGCGGTGAATAAATAAGCCTTTAAGATAAAATGCATGGTATGACTTAAACTAAGGTTACAATATAGACAATAAAACAGGCGACAAATTGAAAGGAAAAGCCCTCATTAAGCCTACTTAAATCCTAACTCGTTATGGAAATGAAGCCCAACCAAAACCTTTTTTTCTTAAATAACACAATAAACCAGCTCATCAGGCAACATGCCTTACTTCATTACTGCCTTTAATCCTGCAAATCAGAATGTTTTTATTGTTATTAAGAAAAGGCACTAATCTGGAGGATTCAAACATCTCTTACATTTAAATAATTGGATGCGTTTACATCCACCATGTCTGCATATCCTCAAGTCCTGGTGTGGTTTTTAGCCTCAGAGTTTCCCTGGTGATAAAAATTAAATAGGACATTTGTCTAAAATCAAAGCCCTAAAAACACCAAAGTTTCTGCAGCGCTAACACTCTGTGTGTCTACTTCTTCTTCTTCTTCGCCGTTGTCCTGTGGAGGGGACCTGACAACACTGTAACAATAACACTGGACATTTGTGTGCCAAAGGCCTGTGATCCAGCAGGACTGCTTTTGTACCTGCACCCTGTCTACATCTTTGCACTGATTGGCTGTGTCAGGCTGAAGTGAAGGGTCCGTGCAAGAGCTTGCATGAGCTAATGCACGATTTAATTTCCTTATATTGCGTTCCAAATGTGTATGATCCCTTCAAACGCATTGCAGGCGTTACAAATTGCACTCAGGTGAGCTCGGGCCTCAACGGCAGCATGGCCGACCATCGGAAATGATTATTCAGCTGATAGGCAATGCAGGTAGGCTTAATGGGGGCTTTTTATCCCAAATAAAAGCACATTTGTAACAATGATGTTTAAAAGCTGTGCTGTCCATCCTCTGCTCACACTGCCCACACAACCCACAGGACAACACAGTGAGGCCCAGCCAGCTCCCATTTAGTCTAAAGCTTGCTGTGATAAATACTTAAAATAGGAATTTTTAAAAAATCTCTTCTAAGATGCAATCCAGTAACAGGTTTAAATGAGATTGGACAAACACATCTAATAGAGAGGCGTAAAGTTATCCTCTTCCCTCTCACAGACTGATTGCAGGGTCACTTCTCTCAAATATTTCCTCAATCTTCCCAACCAAGCAAGCCGAAACAGATGTGTGGAAATATGTCACCGAGGTATCCTGGAACAGCCAGACAAGGTCAAGATCCACAAAAATACTACAGAAAAGGCTTGTAAAGAAGAAGAAGAAGAAGAAGAAAAAAAGGTTTATGACAATACTGCTGGATTCGACCCCTTTCACTGGTGTTATGTTTCAGCACATGCTGATTTGTAACAGGCTGAATGCTACATGGAAGCAGAAGCAGGGATGTCCATGTGAAGAGGGGGAGGGGGGGGTGAGGAGGAGAACGTAACACAATAGCTTCACAGCGAGAGAAGAGTAGCCCAGGTAGTGGAAAAAGAAATCAACTGGAGGCTGGAGGGTTCTCCTTTTTAACCCCGCTCTTCATCAGGAGGTTATAACGCAAAAACACTGCAGAGGGTTTGTTAGTGCTCATGCTGCTGCCGCAGCCAGAGGGATGGTTATTCGCAGGCTCGCGCCAATGCAAGGGTCATGCAAACAGTACGCGGGCAGGTAGTTCATGCATTGCGTGCCTCAGCCAAGCCCATCCGAGGGGTGAGTGAGTGCAGGCCACAGAAAGGCCACACAAGGCTTGGGCCGGTCACTGGTCTGCCAGTCATGCAGTGACATTGCTGTTGAAGGAGGAGAAAGACAAGCAATGGTCAGATGGCAGGGCTGGTTAGCATGAATTCAATAATGTGACTGTGATTCAGACTGACAGAGATCAAAGTTGACACAAGGTAACTCATGATAGAAAATGGAACAAAAAAAAAGGGTTAATGAGGGGATTAAAAACAGCAGCGAGAAGCTCACGGGTTCAGAATTCCTGTCGAGGGGACACAAGCCATTCGGTCTAAATAATATTATGACGGCCGCTAATGTGTACGATGGCAGCAAATCCTTCAAATTTGTTCGGATGACGTGGCTAGACTGATATGCAACACTACACACTGTCAGCTTTGTGGTTAGAGAGCCGAGGCCTCAAACTCAGCATTAATCCTATGGCACAAGTTTGGTGTTTAGTCTGGGCGGGAAAGCATGTTACGCTGAGATTACTGAAAAGCAGACAATCATACTTTAGGTGCATGGCATGTGAGGTGTAGTCCAACTTTTATGAAAATGCTGGTGAAGCTAAAACCATGGTAGCTGGTTTAGCTCAATGGTGGCTCTTTATCTCAAAGATGACAACAAAAGAACAAAAGGAAACATCTTCTATGGTGGAATTGATAGATTTACCTTGCTGAAGCTTTCACCTTCCAAAAGACAAATAAACCTGCCCTGTCAGTAGTGAAACATATAATGTAGTCCTCCCAGAAATCATTTCACTAATTCATTCAGACAATCAAGGAAGCAAATCATTCATTTTCCGACACCCGGATGCATTTTAAGACTGTTATCAAGTGACATTCATTTAAATCCAATAATGTCACCCACTGTTGCTGTTACTTCCTTAAAGCTACATCATAGACATCACACAGAACAGACAGCGTCGCCAAACCAATGCGAACGTCAAACGTTATCCCAGGTAGAGATGTGCATAAATACTGCATGAACAGCTAGAGTAATTGTTCTTATAAAAAAAAAAATGTAAAAAACTTGTCGGGATGATAGGTTTCTTCTGAGCCCTAAGGTCCGGATCATCTGAGTGGCAACAACTGACCACACACTGCAGGCTCAACAAGTGGCTGCGAGGGGGCTCAGGGAGAAAGGTTGCTCGGAGTGTTAAGTCCCTATCAAATATGCTTGAGTTCGAAAAAGATGGAGGTCTTGCATCACGGGAGTCAAAGTTAAAGCAATCTTAGTCAGGAAAAAGAACGTAAAGAAAGAATGCGCTGCAAGATTTGGGCAGCCTCACCCAGCATCTCTACCTCATGGATCTGATTGAGAAGAGAAACAGAAAATCAATATGCAGAAGGCAGGAGAACAAAAGCTTCCATTAGAAATGAATGGAATGCTGTGCCTCCAAACGGGCACGCCTATTGTTCAGGGGACTTGAAAGGTAGTTTTCTGGCAGATTTTTCTTTTTTTTTGCGCCTATTGCCATCTACCTGGCGGTAGCTGGCTGGACATGACCCGGGTAGGAGCGACGTGTGCTGGTGGCTTGTCTCTGCCGGGCCAGGAAGGACTGCCCAGAGCCTGTGTTGGCAAGTCGGTCTTCAGCCGCCTTTTTCTGAAGCGACATGCCCTGCGAAAAGATAGGAGGGGAGGAATCTAAATCGTGGTCTAAACCAGTATTGCATTACACTAAGAAAGCGGTGCACCGAATCTGATGCAACGTGGCTTAAAAGGAAAAGTTACAGGCTGCTTTAACATCTCACAGACACAAACCAAAGCAATGTCCAACGTGAAGACACAGAGCTGGATCATCTCTAGGTCTTTATTGAAGGGGATGACATGCCATTTTTATTTAAGATAACTCTTTAGGTCATCTATTCATTGATTGATTTGGCCTATGAATTCAGAACAGTGACAGATTTTTCAACATGAAATAACTCCTTGACCCAGGCTGGACGTTTCCTATAAAACCACCAAACTCCATGTTCTGGGTGAACCGTGTCAGCTAAGGTCATAAAAGGGTATATGCTGCCCTCTGGTGGTTGGCCCGGTGTTACGGGTAATGCTGCAAGCAGTTTAGTTCATATCCAACAAAAAACTTGAATACATTTCATAGACATATGAACAATAACTTTTTTTAAGACCGCCGTTAGCGGTCAGGTCTGACACCAGCGTTCAGGCTGTAAAGACTCTACTTACCATATTGTACCAGGCTGAAACAATGAGTTTCTCCTCCTGATCTCTCTGGCTCTTCGTTTTGTCCATTTCTTTCTGTTTGGGAAAAAGAATTAAAGCAGAAAAATGTTATCCTTGAAATGGTTTTCTAAACCACACGACAGAAGTGGGTTACATCAACATTCCATTTGCATGTGACCAGGTCTCATTTACTCATTTATATGCTTGCTGATGGATTGCAGTGCTCTAACTCTTTACCTCCAATGAATGCAACATCCTCTCCTTCTCTTGCAGCTGGTTTTTTAGAGCCTGGACCTCTGGGCCTGAACCCTGGTTCTGCTTTGGGTCCAGCGTTCGGATCACCTGTGAATGACAGATTTACATTTGGGTTAACAGATGTAGACAAAGGTAGTCACTCCACATCCTCAGAACAAGTTTTCAGACGCCTGTCACTCACGCTCTTGGCTTTTTCGAGGTATTTCTTATATCTCTCCTCCATCTGTTTCATCTCATCATCTTTCTTTTTTAAAGCTTCTTCCAGCTCCTCCACGCGTTGGGCTGGAATGGGAACAGCATTGTAGTTGACAAATTAATACTTCATTACTAAAAAAGAAAAGGGTCTGACTTTGACTTGAATTTCCAACCAAGGTAATTTTGTAGATACATTATTGACAAAGATCAAATAGTTTCCTCTTGCTTAGGCAGATGAATGACAGGCAAAAACAATCCAGACTCACAGTTTGCGTTGTATTTAGGCTCCATGTCGTCGATGAGCGCATTTTTCTTCAACAACTCGTTGTTCAACTCTTGTACTTTTTCCCTAAGAAAAATAAGTATTGATAAAAAAACTCTTTACTGCCTAATTATTTCTAAAAACCAAGGTTCAGACATTTGGAAACTCAGTAGAGACCTAAAATTAACCTTGAAATACAGAATCAATTAAAGAAAAAAGGTTAAAGATCACTTACATGTGCTCCTCATATTTCTTCTTTAGAATTGAAGACTTTAAAAAAACAGACAAAGTTAGAATTTTAAACAGATAGAATTATCAAAATGGTGTAAAAAGAGCACTGAAAGACTAAATTCTGTGGCTGGTTAAATGGAGTAAGAGAAAGGAATGGGGGCAATGAGTTTCTACTGAGGGAAGTTATTTTAAAAAATGTGAAACACATGAAAAACTAAACAAATAACGGCAAAAATAACACATCTTGGGAGACTACAAGGCATAATCTATTTATATGATTAGATATACTTACTATAGTCTGACAGTGGAGCATTACATAAAGAAACAAAGCAAAAGGACATTTTCTTTCTTTGGCTTACCAAACAGAGCATGTCATATCCATACCATAATTATGTGAGGAACAACTCGTCAGTACTGTCTTTCTTTGATATATGTTGAAAAATTAGTATAGAGCACAAAAGCACTACTGATCATGTATTAAAACTAACCCTGCAAACTGTAGTATTCAGGTCAGAATACAGAGAAACCCCAGAGAGGAACAAAACATGTTATGGTAAACCTCCATGCCTGACTTAACAGAGTGGAGGAGATACTTTAAGTATAGACTTAATTAAAAAAATTTTTAATTAAATGCTCATGTGTTAAGGGTTTAAAAAAAATAAAATGAAACCACAGGTAATAAGCGGCCATGCTGGATTTTGCATAAAAGGGGACCAAAAGTTAATGTGATCCATTTTTGCTCTTACATACAGCCAGTAGAGCAGAGGGAATTAAGAAGTAATCGTGAAAATGTATTAAATCGGTGCTTTTCTGTCTTTTAACCTATCCAAATATAGATACAAAAACTGAATAAAAAGAGCAAATGTACTTCATAAGCCCACAAAATGAGGCCTGTAGTCTAGCAATGGAAAAGCGGAATGACTAAAAATTTGGCTTTCTTTGACTGCTGACACCATTTCAACTGATATCGGAAACACACAAAGAAATCACTCACATCGTCTGCTTTTGAACCCTGTTCTTCAACTGTCTTGTGCAGCTCCTCAACCTGACTCTGTTCCTCCATCAAACGCTGATTGATCAACCTGGACAGAATTAAGAAAGTGCCAGTTTGACAACAGTGGCTGAAAAATTTTGGAGCAGGGCAGACAAAAAGAATGGTTGTGGGGAGATGGATATTCCAAAGCAAGACAGAACTCATTCTCAAAGTATTTCTTCCCCAAGGATTAAAGGTTTGAGCCTCTCACCCACCTGTTCTCTGTCTCCAGTTCATTTTTTCTTCTGTTGGCATCTTCCAGCAGACTCTGTAACAGAGCGATCTTCTCGTTGTCGGAGCCTTCCTGTGCCAGCTTCAGCATCTTGTTCTCGTGTTGGAGGCGAATCAAATGCTCTCTGTAGATACAAGTCAGCCTGGATCATGTGATCATTCCAAGTCCTTTATTCACTTATGTCCACGAAACCCACAACATCGTGCACCTCATTCTAGAAAAACACAGGCTACAACAAACTGGTTAGATGTTATCAAAAGGTGGAGGGTTGCTGTAATGGGAAACCTAATGTAGACTAACTCAAAAGCTAAAATAAACATGTAGTATCTACTGTGGCTGCAAAGCAGGCTCAACAGTGGCGACCACTATCAAAACAACAGACCCAATTAGACTAATCGAACTAAGAGGACTTCAAACTGTGCAAACTGAGGTAAATAATGTGGAGCGCACTGCCTTTAGCTCTGGTCTGTTGGACATATAAACAGAGGGAATCGGTGGGCTTTGTATTCACTGAGACAGCTGGTGGAAAGACAGAATACAGCTCCTGGTAAGGAAAAGCGGAGCCGAGAGAGGAAAAAGGACACTGAATGATAATTCCAGCGCTTTCTCATTCTCTCCTCAGAAATATCTGAAAATGGATGGCAGACAAGGTTTTTTCAAAAGCAACCGGTTGACACCAGTTCCACCTCTGGATTTAGAGCCTGATGACACGTCACCGATGTGCATCCGTCTGCCATTATCAGAGGCTCTCAGGCTGTGACCGAAGCTCAGGGCTGAATATTGTTTGACCAGTATTTGTCCAGTGAGTTAATTAGCGGCCTGGATTTGATTAATTCAAGCCTCACAAAAGCAGCTTTTAAAAGATTAGTATTACAATGTAAGCCCACAACTGTTCTAGGTTCAAAGGTGCAGTAAGAAAAGAGGAAAAAAAGGAAATCCAGCCAATAGAAAAATTCTTCTTATTAAGCTGCCTTCCCCCTAATGCGATCATACACTTTTGTAAGTTTGTAATAAACAAAAGAGAGCAGAAAGATCCCAGGAAACGGACTGAATGACAGTACTATAGACACTCCTGTGTATGGCAGTTTGGGATATCTAAAACACTCACACATATACATACACAAAAACCTCTGTGTTAGTAATCAAAGAAAGAAAACCATGATGAAAAAGTCCTTTACCGAATCTCAGGGGTGGTGATCTCAGCAGCCAGCGAATCGGAGCCATCATTACTAGCCAGTGGGAGCAAACCTGAACAACAGACAGGGTTCTTTAGTACATCGTAACCTCAGCTGGGTCTGACCTGGTAAACTATACCCCTTCAGTTTAAAAAAGAAAAGCAATAAAAGTCTTTAAAAAACACTCGATGTCACAGTCGGTCACTTGAAAACCTTACCTGATGTGAGCTGTCCTTCTTGAGCCTGAACACAATGCAGTTCCTCTATAGTCTCTTTCAGTGAGTCTCTCTCAGTCCTCATCCGCTGCAGAGGAGACAGAGTAAAAAAAAAAAAAAAATACATAAGTGTCTCTCAGTGTCTTTCAATTCCTGTTCAATTATTCAAGTAAGCTCGATTTCTCTCTGACGGCGAGGCAGATTCCTTTTAAGCTATCTGTTTCTCTTTCTATTCACAAAAGTAATCTACATACATCCTTCTCTTTTTGCAGGGAGTCCACTTTCTCTTTGACGCGTTTGTACTCAAACTCCATCTTGTCGGCCTTTTTAGACTCCTCTGACAGTCTGTTCTGAAGCTCCACTACCTGTACAGAGAAGGCAGTTTAATAAAAGACATGAAAAGACATCCGAAGAGGTACATAATCCCTCATCTGAGTAAAGGCCTTGTACCAGCTGGGTTGTGGCGTACAGCCTGGGAAAGTGTACAAAAGGATCTTTTTATATCAGCTAGTCACAGACCTGTCTCTTGTAGGTCTCCAGCTGGCCCTTGGTGGCATTTGCCTTTCGAAGCTCTTCCTCCAAGCCAACGTTGGTCTGCATTAATACTGTGTTTTTCTCCTCCAAAAGCTTATTCTGGAACAGAAATGTTAGCTTCATTTGGCACGTCTCATCTGTGTTGGAGGGGTGTAAGACTGTCGTGGTTTTCTAAACCTGCACAGAGGTTGGAACTACATAGTACGTTATTGTGTACCTGTCTCCTGAGGAGGCCCATGTCTTCCAGTTTTTTCTTGTAGTGTTCCACTGTGCCCTCCAGCTTTGAAACTTTGTCAGACGAATGCCTGGAAAGAGAACAAGGAGCTCTGTTTATGAGCTTCTGGGGAAAAAACTAAACAAAACAAAACATGGCTCTCGTTTTTTTTTCCTCTCATGTATAAATAGCACTAAGATATCAGATTTTTCCCCTCTTTTTTTCCCTCAGAAACTTGCTGACAGGCATGTCGTTTTTGGAGTTAGCAAAGAAAACTAAAAAACATCCAAATCTATATTAACAGCAAGGCAAACACCAGGCATCTCTCATTTAAATATCCAACCTTAAGAACCTTTGGCATAAAGGGGTCATAACGTCCTCTTTTCTCCAGATGATTTTGAATTAATAGCTTTTTCCAGGTAATCTCAACGTGTTGGAATGTTGGGTTTCCACCTCACCTGAGGACGTCCATCTCATCCTTAAGTGACTGGGCTTCATCGGCCAGTGACGCAAGCTCCTCATTCTGGGACTTCACATCCACAAGTTCTTTTTCAAGCTCCTCACAACGGATCCGGAAGTCGTCTTTTGACGCCTCCAGTCTAAAGAAAATAAGAGAAAATAATTGCATCTAAACGGTCTCTGAGCATCAGAATCCAGTCAGTTCACCTTTTTTTGTTACTCTGTGTGTGAGCGGCCGCTCACCTGAAAGTTTCCTCCTGTAGTTGCTCCAGCTGGGTCTGCAGCTGGAGGTGTCTGCGGCCAGCCGGGCTGTTGATGTCCTCTATGGAGTCAGACTGGTTAAGTCTCTCCATCAGGACCTGGTTCTCTGCCAGCAAACTGCTCTTTTCCTCTTGCAGCGCCGCCACCTGAGGAAGGGGAAGCGTTGAACAGGACGGCGAATAAAACCGGTGGGATGAGAAGGCGGGTGGAGAGATGAGTGGATCCAGATGAGTGAGAATGGAAAAGCGGGGGTGAAAGGAGGGGGGGGCAGAATGACATGAAAAATGACAGACACAGAGAAGTGAAACAAGTTTTAACAGCACGAACATAGCTCATTTAAAACAACTCATTAACAGCATTCTGTCCATGGAGCTGACAGTCAGGGCAGCATCAGGTTTGTACAGAGGCAAACGCACACCAAACACACGCCAGCGGGGCAGTCAAACGTAGCGGGGGGGGGCTGCATATGGGTTGGTGCTGTCCTCTATCCACATGAAGTTAGGCAGAGGCTGACGGGCTTTTTTCAAATGTGACATGGAACGGGTTAACTCAGAAAATCTAAAAGCTATTTAGAATAAGAAATAGAATGTAGATTCTTTAAGAAATAAAAAGGGAGATTTGGGTATTTTATATTAAATTGTAGTTCACTAATGTGAATATTACATTAGTTGCCTCATGTTTTTTTTCTTCTACAGTTATGAATAAATGTGTGCCAAAATGTCGGTGAGGAGGTCATGTGGAAGCGCTGCGGGAGAACTTCCACACGTTTGAAAGTTCTCAGACCAACCTGTAACACATCCAAGATGCGAACAGGACAGCTCAGAAAGCAGGAAACAAGGTAGGTGGGGGGGAGCTGTATTCAAAACCAGAAAGAGGTTTCCTAAAACTACAGACTTTTTATAAAGAGGAAAAAATTAATAAATACACCAATGGGTGCCAGTGTATTTTTTTTAATCAAAAAGGGAAAAACAAAGAGAGGGAAGCTTAATGTGAGGAATTTTTCTTAATATCTTAAACAATGCCTCTAATGATTGACTCCTTCCTGGGTTCAAATGCAAACCTACTCCGATTATTGTTGCTGTGGGGAAGCGTGACACAAACCGAGGTCGAGAACACAGTAAGGATTATTAGTAAGATGGGGGGGCACATCTGACACACACAGCCCAAACATGTGTCGAGGCTGGTGTGCTCCAAGAGGACAGCGTGTATACGTGTGCACAAACCTTTGTGCACAGACGTGTACACGCACACACACACATGCACACACACACACACACACACACGTTGTGTGGAGAAGGAATTGGGTGCAAGCAGGCCGAAAAATATCCAGGACTACTTGACACGCCACACACCATGAAAGAAAGAAAAACAAAAACAGATAAAAAGAAAGTTTGGAATTACCCTCTCTTCTAGCTCATTAAACTCTAACCTCAGCCTATCACGCTCTTCTTGGACGAGGAGGGCCTTTAAAATAAGGCACACAGTATTGAAATGGTAAGGAGATAAAAAAGGAAGCTGGTTCAGAAGACAGTGTTGGACGTACAGCTCCTTTTTTCTGCAGTAACCCGCTCATCTGCAGGCCCTACATGTTCAGCAATTATGCCCCATTGTGCCTTGGAGAGAGTTGGAAAGTGTGGCACGGTGTTCATTTTCAGCTTTACTGATACTGTTTTACAGTAAGACAAAGAACTACATACAGATAAGACAACCCCATAATTTTTGAGGGGCATATGATGCAATTATGGATTCATTTATGCAGGAAAAAGGAGGTGCTTTTTAAAGTATATCCTTATAATATCTATGAATGAAGACAGACATAATTAGCTTGGGAGGGAGTCAAAATTTTCTTTTCAGATCCACTCACTATACCCCCAATTCACTGTTGGCCTACCTTTCATTTGTTTGAGATGTTTTCCACAAAACTGCATGCAGAATCCTGACAGTTGTTACTATAATGTCAAGCTAAAGAGCATCAGTTCAATCTCTTATTGCACATAGATGTAGTTCTATCGCTAAGTTAGTCGTGCTGCAGAAGATAAAAAGGATGATGGGCAGGGATCCTGTTTTTTTCACATCTGATTATTCAAAAGTCCCCTTCAACAACTGCTGAAGGGGAGCAGCTGTTCTGTTCCGCTAACCTGCAACAGCACCAGGCTCAGGCCACGTCTTTCAAAGATTTTCACAGCACGAGACGAACCTGCATGTCCAGCTCACGACATCTCTGGGCGATCTCCTCCTTTGTAGACAGAGCATCGTTCAGCTCCTCCACTGTTTTCTTCAGCTGAACACAGAGAAAAAGGAGAAATTCAAACCCTGCAGACGTTTGGTAGTGCTTAAAACTATCTGAAGCAGTTATTTCTCTTTTTTTATTAATCTAAAAAAAAGCTTTTCCTGACATGGGTGGGTGCAGCACAGGACGAGATAATGTCCTGTTATCTCCTCACCAGAAGAGGGATGTGAAGGTCTATTCTAAACCTGTATTTTGTGTCCGGGTGCAGTCGCAGTCTGACGAGCATGAAAGGAAACTTTTTTAGGGCCTGACAGCAACCAGACTCACCAGTGACAGCCCAATCAAACGTTCTGGAGTAAGAACCTCTTGTGCTTTGCTGCACGGGATACCGAAGATGGTACAGAGGCACTGCGCTTTTTTTTTTATAGCTCTAATCAGACAAAGTCAATGTGATGAGGTGGCTAAAAATGTATCGAGTTATACAAACAGAATAAAGCTTTTTAAAACGTTTTTTTTTTTAAGCTCAAATCACTTTGTAACAAAAATTAAACCGGCTTTTTCTTCACTTCAAAAATTCAAATATTTCTCAACTACACACAAAAATTAGAGTAAATCATCAAATGTGAACACTGTTACTACCCCATCACACCACTGGGTGTCTCAGTGGTTTCTGCCGTCTGCTCTTTTGACACATTTTCTTTTGTTAATACTTTTGAGTTTACAAATAAATGCTCAAGATAATCTCCCTCTGCTGTCCTGTTGGTCTTGCATCTTTGTCACAGTCAGGCTGTGATAACACATATGTAACTAAAAGAGCATTGTGGGTGTGTGTTTTTCTGTCCACGTTTCTGTACCTGTCGGTCTAGATCCACGTATGAATCATTCCCACCCGTGACTGGAGTCTCTTTACTCATCAGCTGCAAAAAGACATTGAATGATTGTTTAAAGGGGTTAAACGTGTGAATGACTATTGATATCTTCTTTTTTACCAACACGTATAACCACTCCCATGTGATCTCGGTTAAAAAAGATGAATCGCTCTACCTCTTGGATGGCTGTCATAACAACGTGCTGCACCGATTCTTCCATCATCATTATGGTTTGGATGTATTCTGAAGATTACAAAATAAAACACACCCACATGACAAAGATCCAAACTCCCAAATGAGTTGGTAATGCCATGCTATTTCCCAGGTACAGAATGTAAAAAGCACCTTGTTTCTGTTCACAGTTGACAGCACAGCCTAATAAGAGCTGCAGCATCCTCCCAAGCTCTGCAGCATCGGAGTGTTCTCCAATCAGATTGACATCTGGTAGTGTGAAGTCATTGATGTGCTGGCCTAAGATCTAGAAAGGGACACAAAATAGAGGTAGAAATACTTTACAGTTTGCACACACTTGCAGATAATTCTATCTGTAAATGATGAAAATAATGTTTTTTTTTACCTCCTGGTTATAATCTAGGATACCTTTCAGGATTTTCTTTAGATTGCTGATCTAGAATAAGAAAGAAAAAAAGAATATTACTTAGAAGACAAATTCAGATAAAACACATTTGTCAACAGCGTAGAAATGAAATCGTTCTATTCTTCACACAAAGGTCAGGTTCTTACCTTTAACCTCCAGTTGTCCCCAACCTCTGGCTTTATTCTGCTTATCCACGCATCGTTGAAATACACTATATCTCTGGAAAATTCAGGCAAATACAGTTTGAGGGCAGGAAGTGTGGTTTGTATCTAAAACCTAGTGTAGAATACAGGATTTCAAGTCTGGTTTTCACGTTGACTTTTAAAAAACGGTAAAGGTCATTCATGGAGAATGGTCCCATTCAGATGCAAATCTGAGCTTGATTGGCAATCATCGATAGTCACACACGAGCGCTTCAAAAGGCTCACATCTGCCTGATTATCTGACATTTCTGAGATTAAGAAGCGGCTGGCAGACGAGGAGCTGGAATAGAGAGATTGCCAGTGACCCAACAAGAGTAAACAAACAAATATTAATATTTAAAATAAAGCTTTAAAAATATACTCATGGACAAGGAACTAAAAAGCTCAAGAGTGTGTCTTAAAGCTTACATTTTCTGCAGAGCTTGGGCCATGACGATGCCACTGGTCAAGTCTTCTACTGTCTTGCATGGTGCCTCCACTCCAAACGTTTGGATCTAAACAACAGACGGTGAATGGAAATGATGAGCACTTGGTGAAAATTGAACCTTGAAATCGTACGAACTAACTGTTTAATCAGTTACAGTGTGATTCGTTTCACATTCCACAGCAGAAGCGACAATACCCTGCTTTCAGGAAGACGTTGTGGCAGTGACACCTCATACATATATGAAACATTCTTTAGGGGAACCATCTGGATTTGTAAAGTGCATCTAAAAAAATAAAAATAAAACTGGACTTACTTTTTTTCTTTCAGAGGGAATATAAGAACACATATGGAACCCCCGTTAATTTTATTCTATCTGAACGTATCTGAATGCGCTAAGACGACAGCAGTTTACGGAAAGCCTGCAGAGCCGTCAAGCTTGTTTGGTCAAGAACATGGTCCAAACAAGACAGCTATCAGGGGAAACAATGAAGAATATTCCAAAACAAGAAGGCTAATGAAGTGGGACAGTGGCAGGGGATGACGGGCGCTTCTGATTGGATTAAAAAAATAAAATAAGATCTAAATTACACTATAAATCTGGAGCTAGAAAAAAGCATGATTTGCAGAACTTTATTTGTTGTAACCGAACATACAACAATGAAGAGCACAGGCTAATCCCAGCAATAACTGATGATAGGAACAGGACAATGGGAGGTGGCAGTCGCTGCCTCAACAGTATCCACATTGAAAATTTTACCGGTATTTCTTATTAAATCAGTTGAAAAGAGGGTCTGAGATGCTGATGCAAACATAATTTTGATTGCAAACACACAGCACAAACGGTCACCAATAAGATGCTTACACAAATTGCTTGTCATAGTGGCTAATCTTCTATTGCATCAGCTGTACCCGTTCCGTTTTAAGATCTTTTCCGCTCTAAAAACCGTCTGACTTTGCACCTCCTTCTTCTGCTTCTAGCCTTCACTTTTCTCTCTCGGACACATATGGTCCAGGCAGAAATGACACCGCACCATCTAGATCCCAGAAGTCTGCATGCCAAAGGAGGAAAGGAAACTTGGAGCAGGAATGTTGGAATTTAAATGGAAAGAAAATGAAAAGTTTGAACCTCTGCTCGTGTTTTTTTTTTCTCACTTCTCTTTTCTTTATCAAAATCAGAAGGGGAGACTGACAAACAAAAAACAAACGAGCATTGTTTTAATCGTAGATGAGATTGTATTCCAAAGCAGTAATGAAGTCATCAACGTGAGCCAGATCTTTAAGTCACCTTGGCTCACATCTGGAACAGGATTATTATGAGCAGACACAAAGATGAAAACCACCAAACAGGAAGACACTGGACACCGTAAAAAGTACAAGAAACAAACTACACGTGGCATGAGGTGAGGACAGCATGAAAGAAAGGATAGATCCTTATCCTTATCATTTTTAAATTTGATACATGTAAAATGTTGGCTCTTGCCATTTCATTCATTTACATCTTCAGTGCACCTATTATTTCAATTCATGCTTTTTCCCATGATCAAGCACCAAAAACAAAAGGCAACTTGAGGCTTAATCTGGAAACTGGCTGTTAGCAGACACAACACAAAGCCAAAATAATAGTTCTGGTTACATAACAGCTAAAGTGAGCGGCAGGGAGTTGCTGTACCTGCCTCAATCACACACTAAATCACCTTCTACTTCAGCTAAACACCTCAGCCGCTTTTAGGCCACAGCCTAATCAAAATTACAACCTTTTATTGGGGATTTATCTTTTTTTTGTCATGATTATGACAAATGACTCGCTGACCTACTGTTTGGGCACTACTGGGCTATGTCTCCTTGAAAAGACCCAGGAGTGAAACTATGTCAAAGCATAGCTAATGCATGCCTTCTGGGCTGAGGTGAAAGCAAGTGTTACAAACAGACAAGTCAACATCCTTCAAGAGAGGCGCACAATGAAAGAGCAACTCACACGAGTATGGACTAAATATGGTGACCTAGTCCTAGTACAACATTTGGTATCCATCATTTCCCCTATGCAGCACAGATAAGGACGGAAGGAAAATATTGGACAGCTCACATTTCACAGACACAGACACACACACCCACGCACATACACACACACACACACGTAGACAGAAAATGAACAGCTGGGAGAAGCTGGGAGGCTGCACATGACCACATTTTTTTTTCTTCTTTTTTGGGTTAAAAGCGGAAATATAGGCTCCAGTGACCCCGTCAGGACACATGTCAAACTGTATATTACCTTTGGACAAAGGATTTTAAAGTGGAATGTGATGCCTTTTGTACAGGCACAGCAGAGCAGTGCAGGTGTTGGACACCGTATATATACAGATCATTCTTCCTTCTATTGCACACGCCGGCAGCATACAGGACCAGTCTAATGTCAGGGCCAATCTTTGGACTAGTACCGTCTATAAGACTAAATCTTTACACTTTCTTATGGTGATTATGTATTTTCCCACAAGAAGTATGAGCTTTTCTTCAGTCCATCAATCCATTATTGTTACCGTTTATTCCCTAATGGGGTCATTTTCTTAAGTGTTAGATACAACTTTTAAAAAGTACTTCATCGTGTTGTGTTTTCATGGTTTAACACACAGATATGACTGAAACCGTCATCTCAACGTGAAAGAACATTGAGGACCAAATAGCTGCTGTTCCTGCACTGAAGTTTAATGGCGCTGAAGCTCTGATGGAAAGCTTAAGTCGACTAATTTGTTGGTTTCAGTGTTAGCGGCAGCTTTTTACAGATACAGTTGCTCTTAACCACACTGGATGCACCATCTGATCACCTCCCAATCAGCTTATGATTATACTAATCATGGAACCTTGAGACTCTGACCGCAGAGTAAAAGGAGGTCAACAACCACTACTGCATTCAATAGGGGGAAAACTATAGGGGGAAACTGCAATATTTTGATGCGGTTCCCCATCAGTGACTAGAGCTCCAAATGTCCTTCAAAGTTAAAAATAAATCCCAACCTCTGCCAGTAGCTGAGGCATTTGCACAGAAACTCAAATACTCTAGTTCAGTCCTTTTTTGATAATGCAGATGATCACAGTAGTCAGTTAATAGTGTTAACTGACCAACACATGTCCACACCATCGTCTATTCGTGAACAGAAAATGCAGAACGATAAGTGAAACCTGAATCATTCTAGAAACCAAGCCTCATGTGAAACGAGGCATTCAGGGTATCTAGTTTATCCAGATTTTCTACTTGTTCCATGATCTCAATAGATTAATTCCAGCCTGTTGGGCTAACACTCACAGCAGGTGACCAGTCAACAAAGCACAAGTCTTCATCTAAAGTCCCTTTTTTTGACCGCAGCACACAAAGGGTAAAAAACAGAAAACTTTCACATAACCCAGGAGATCCTTATTGGGAAAACAGGCCAAAAGAATAAGCTTAAATCTACCAAGTAAATACAGAAATAAAACACAGGCACACAGACCCCGAACAAAAAAAACAGAAGAGTGAAATAGGGTCAACAAGGAAATCCACACCTAGAAGTTTGTGGAAAGAGTTGCAAAAGGAGGCGATCAAGCTGTGTGTAAGAGGATACCTCACACAGCTACAGCAAGAACAGGCACCAGAAACACACGGGTGTTCCTTTAAGAAATTGCGGAGCATCCTCACTTATACATCAGTGGGATCTACAGCCTGGATGTGTGGGAGGAACACATTCCAGGTGCTTCCTGTCAGTGAGCAAACTTTCTGCATCATCATGTGAAACAGATCCTTCTGCAGCAGGCAGCTTTATTAAAAGGGAAGCACACAGGGATCAGGTTGTGTGATTGGTGCCATGTGCCTGTTTTTATTTGACACTGCTGACCCATGCTGGCACCTTACATGACAACACATTTATTATGTAAAGTTTCCACCACATGACATCTCAACCAGTCCCATTCCCAACCCCCAGCATGTATGAGGAGCTGGGGCACTTTATTCAATAATGTAAACATGATCCCTTTGGAAACACGTGACACCAGTCTGGCAGCTATTCTACTTATTGGGATAACTGAGTAAATTCTGAATCTGAGTAAATCGATTTGGGGATTTAGTGACAAAGGAAATGTCACAGGGAGCGGATTCGCATTAGTTGTTTATGTCAAATGAAAGTACGAGGGGACACATGCGAAGATCGTGCTACAGTAGACAACAATGATAGGAATTCAGCTCCAAAGCAGTCACAGAGCGGTACGTTAAACGGTCGGAGGGGAAAGCTTTCGTCAAAGGAGCGCTGGTTTATACTGTGAATCGAACCCAAGGATTTTAAAACAAGGCAGGGATTTAGCATCACAAAGTTGAGCTGCGGTTGAGTAAACACGCGTTTGTTCTGGGCTACAGTGGAATACATCTACGTTTTTATCGTGTCTCGCCGATAGCTAAACACAGTAAACAGCTGGCCTGCATACGTAACCAAAGTGAGCCCGTGTCATTTTCCTCTAGTCAGCTAGCGTCTCCCCAGTTAGCTCATCGAGCTATCATTAGCTCTGTGTGCTACCTAGCATCGCCGGTGCCCGAGAGGTGTCTGTCACTCGAAAAACACTATTATGTCATTACTTACCCATGTTAAGAGACTTTCACAGAGTTCCATTCGATCCAAGGACTCTGAGGTACTCATTGTTACCTAATGTAGGCCGACTTTGCGTGGCAGAGGGAGCCTGAACTTAACCGAGGGCTTTCATACACTCCCTAGATCTCTAGCTCTTTGGGTGTCTCACAATCCGTCAGCCAATAGTCGGGTTCGCTGCTTTGCCAGACCGGCGTCTACCAGAAGCGGGATGGGTGGGCGGAGTCTCCAACACTGTAAAGGAAAATTCCGACAACAAGTTCTGGCGAAAGTTGTTTTATTATATGCTCATTGAAAAAAAATCTCAATCTCTGACGATTACAGGGGGAAAAAAACTGGCAGTCGGTGGAGGTAGAAGTAATGGTAGTAGTTGTAACACAAATGAGAAATTATCACTCCTCAGAATGCAGTGCAATTCCTTTGATGAAAAATAACTACATGAGGTTTACTTGTGCATGAAAAATCTCTGTTGAATTCTTTTGGCAGTCACACTTTAAATCTCACTGAGAACAGCCAAAATGTTCATTTCTACTGATGGAGGCGACTGTTTGACAGCTGGACTGGTTTGTAAGAGGCAAAACAAGACAGGAAGCGTGCCAAACCCGGTACTATGCCAAGTATCCGGACTGTCAAGCAATTGAGGAATACCTCAGAGATAACCCAAAGATTGCCTTATATCACCACCCCTCTGTTTAATTTACAAATCATTGTAAGCATTGTTCCAAAGCATAACTCTTGGTCCAGAATGAACCAGAAGATAAAATGCAACTAAATTATCAACGTTTTAAGATTTCTACAAATAAAAGTTAGAGGTTTTTTTTTGTCTGTTTGTACATGAGTCACACTGCATTAGAAATCATCGTTCTGATCATGTTTTCTATAAAGAGGAATGCATTTTTAACAATCCAAGGCAGAATTGTCAGTTCCCAAACACATACTCTGCATGGAATGTTTCTCCACCTATAAAAGTCTCTCACCCAACTGGTTTTGAGTGGTTAGAAAGGAGCAGCAAAGCATGACAATGCAGCAGGCTTTCTCATGAATTCCAAAAAAGAGGAAAGAGATTGCCTTAAAGTCCCAGATAAAGATTTCATGGGGAGCTTTCGAAAAATTTCACCATTTTGGAATGCCAAAACAGATTAACAGGTTTTGCCCTCAAAATCAAATCATTTAATTTGTTCAGATGTGGGCATCCAATACTTACTGAATAAATATGAATGTTCATAATGATTTACATTTTTTTAAAGTGAAAAATGTGATCATTTTTTTTACCTTGTAAAATAGCAATTAATGGTACATTTGTGCTATGATTATGAGAGAAAGGCTTAATTGGGCTAAGATGTTGTGATAAGGACCAAATATGAAAAATTTGGATTTTTGAAAAGGCAAGAAACAAAAAAAAAAAAACACGATAAACACAATTTTGCAAATGTAAATTATATAGCTTTAAATAAAAAAATAAAAAAACATATAGATACAATGCCTTGTTATATAAATGAATTATATATGTTTAATTACCAAAATGTATTAGACCATTGTTCAACCAATTACGTTGGTAAGAGAACAAATATGAGATGAATATATTTAATAAGAACAAACAGAATTGAATTTTTAGAGATTACAAACTTTTCAAAAAGTTATTAGGACTTACTAGGATTTTCTTATCTGATAAAATCCACAAGTGACATGCTCTGAAAACCACTGCCTTTTAATTGTTTGCTCCCTTTAGCATGATAATAGATCTTTTTTAATTTTCTGGGGCAAAACTGGTCAAAACTATGCAGCTGAACAGCATCATTTTTCAGGTGTTGAAAAAGGCAGAGAACACAAACTGCATAAACATATACAGCACTGGCCACAGAGACGTCACCGTCTCATCTCACAGCCGGGGGAAAATACAGAACCTTTCTCAGAATGTTTTAGAACACATTTCTCATTTGCAAAACAAATGAATTAAAAAAGAACATAGAAATGTGCTAAATGTTCATTTTTACTTACTTTTTGGTTTCTTTTACAAATCGAATGATAAAATAAATAGGCAAATAACTCAAACATCTTGCCCTACATTACATTTAGAGTTAAAAGGTAAACATCCAAATAATCATTAGCATTCCTAATAGAGTGATAATTTACATTCAAAAACTGTCCAAGATTGTTTCTTTACTCTTTTTTGCAAGTTTGGCTGTATTTTTGGGGTGGGGAAATCATTGCATTACTTTTTTGTTTATCCAGAAGAACGAGCTATTCAAACAGATCAACTGCATGCTGTTTCCTCACTATCCCTGGATGCATGCTGGATTTTTAACATCATTGAGGACTGAATTGTGATATTTGAAAAGTTGCAGTCAAATCCATCTGACCTGTTTTCCTATTTTTACCCCATTTTAGCAAGTTGTAGTTTTCGAATAAATCATATTAATGTTTACAGATTACTGAAATGCATTTTCCAACTTACCAAACAGGCTACAAAATGCCAGCCTTAAGAAAAGAGATCTCACGTTCCAGATTCTGCAAGTCACCTTTAAATCAATTTATTCAAGACCCCGAAGCAACACAATACGTCCAAAGTGTTGTTACATTACAAAACTGTCTCTGTAATGATCATATTCACATTGACTAAATGGCTGCTGACATTAAAGTGGCTGGAAACAGTTCGCTGTTCCGTCATGGGATTTTAAGTAAATGTATGAACCAAGCAGAGCAAATGAACACTCCGTGTTTTAAAGTAAACCAAACTGACGAAAACCAGTGTCAGGGATGGGCTCATCTTTGAACATTTATTCAGGATTTGTGCACATCCACCACAGATACGCTCATTCTTCCAAAAGGCTTAATTCAGACCTGCTCTTTGAGTGATCGCCTACCCGTTCAGTCTCTGCGTGACCACCTCTCTGTACATGATAGAGATGTACACAAACAGGAGCAGGATTACGAAGAAGTCGTCCATGAAACCCAGGAGGCCGAAGAGAGCTTCGGGAATGATGTCGAGCGGCGAGGCCAGGTAGGTGATGGCACCGACCAGGCACAGGAGGATTCGGATCCTGAACATCCAGAAGAGGCCGCCCACGGAGAACATTTCCCTGAAGGCGTGACGAAGCAAGGTGGGGACATCTCGCAGCCTGTCCATAAGCTGTGGAGGTGGAAAGATGAAAAACACAGGATACACAGTACTCTGAAAAGATCTGCGTTAAACAGCAATCGGTCGATTAAAGATCTATGATCATATACACAATTCATCTGAAAGCAGTTTTTTCTTTCTTAAAAAGCATCAATACAGACAGCTTCTGACATTTTTACATTATAAATACTCTCACAGCAACTTTCCTTCACTCCTTTCTATATTAACTCTTCACCTGCACAGTAAAACTCTCTCAAAAAGAGAAGTCTTTCAAAGCCTGAGCAACAGCCGCCTAAATAAAATGGAAGAACACTACTCACAGATCTGGGCTGGCCGGAGAACCTTCGATTGTAATCGTGGATGTCTCTTAATATGAGCTGTGGTTGTGCCTCGCCATCCTGCACCCTCTGAGGAGCAGCGTGCTCATGAAAAAGTGGGAAGAGCAGCGTTACCTGGGGATAAAGAATGGGGGGAAAAAATGTAACATGGTTTCACAGGGGGAGTGAGGACCCCCGCAACCATTTATACTGACAAAAGTAACAAACCCTTTGTGTAACAGTTTTTTTTTTATGAATTAAGGTCAACGAACTCTAAATTCTGTCTTGCATAAAATGACTACAGAGGTTGTCGGGACTGATCCACTCGGGCTCTGGTCAGCCATGGCAGGGACTGAATTATGAGACACACTCTCTAATTTTCAATGACGGTAACCCAAGTCAATTGGTGTGTGTGTGTGTATGTGTGTGTGTTTGTGTGTGTGGGAGCAGGCTCACTTCAGTGGTAATAAGGAAGTGACAGTAAAACATCATGGCTCTCTCTTGCTATAACTGAGGGTTCTGTGGTCCAAGTCAACCCACAGCAAAGCAGGGACAAACACCTCTCCACTGAATATCCATATATATTGTCTTATTTGGTTTTAGCAGGTGTACTTTCATTTCAAACAAAGAAACAAGAAAACTCAAACTGCTTTTGTTGAAAGCATACCTTTTAGTGCACTGGACATTCAAGATTTTAATTGGACGGTTCAAGTTTGGAAGACTAGCTATGGTTCTGGCGATTATTAGCTGGGATTCTTTTCCATGAAAACACGACACGAGCAGCACAATATTTGCTTCAAAAGCCTCACCGTTTGTCTGCAGATTGGGCAGCTGATCGCACCCAACCAGGTGCCAAACCTCCAGTAAGCTATGATGCAGGAGCCTACGCAGCGGTGAGGAAGATGAGCACAACTTAAGTGGCAATCGGGCAACAAAGCAGATTAGAAATGTGTCCACTTTACTATAAAAATGTATGTCTTTCAATTTGTAAATTGTATTTATAAGCGTTATGCCATATGGCTAAGAACTGTGAGGAGGTCTTACCGCAGAAAAGGTGCCCACAGTTGGTTTCTACAGGCAGAACAGCCTGTTGTAAACACACAGGGCAGGACATATCTGTGTAGTACTGCTGCCTGGCCTCAGCCTGGGGGTTTTCATCCTGACAACCAGATATCAAAATCAATTAAAATCCAACATTTACCCAGCAGCTGAGTAAATACGTAATAATATAGGTACCAATGTTCTTAAATGCACCTTCAAAGTGTAAAAAGGAACAATACAACAACAATATGAAAATGAGCAAATGGCTAGTTCTCAGAGTCCTGAAAACAGAGTTAAGACCAGTACTAATTTGGACTAACCTGCTCAGTCTGGAGCTGCTGGCGGACAGCTCGAACATGCTCCTGATTCTCCGGATGGATGTTTTGTTCCTCCTGCCTACAAGTGGTAAAAAAAATCATACTGTTGTTAATATATCAAATGACCTAAAAGGCAAATGAAACACTAGGAAAAGTCCCCCCAAAATGTAGCGCCTTAATAAAAAAAAAACCTGTTAAAGATATTTGACAAGCTGGAACAGCTCACCTGCAGAGGAGAGTGAGGAGCCCGGCAAGGAAAGTGAAACTGAGGACCACAACAAACAAGACCTGGTTGCTGATACCCTCAATGATGGTGTCCTCATCTTGGATCAAGTAGTCCAAGTCCCCACATTGACTATCCTCCATCACACACACTCATAGCCTACAATTCTGAGGAAAAAGACAAAATAAAAAACAGGTTATCTAATTGGGTATTGATTTTTTTTTTCCAGAGGTTTTGCTCCAGACAGTTTAAACACAATACAACATTAATGGCCAGGTTCTATCTTTTATTTATGTGTGCATGGACAGGTAAACTTATTTTAGGTCTTTGAGATATCAGTACTCCAAGAGCAAGCTTTTAAAAATGGCATATATGCTAAAATAACTCCAGTCTGTGGATGCTTGTCTGAATTAGAGTCACATAAAGCATCATTTCACAAATGCTTACAGGCAAAAATGGTGCAGCCTTTATGGTTTTCACAAACTCCTCCCTTACAACTTTGTATATGAGGTTATTAGATCACGAGCAGACATGTCTGGAGTGAATGAGCGTCTGTATTGAAATGCATTACCACAAGAGCTAAAAGCGAGCAGCTGGGATCGGATAACACTTTGCCACTGTAAGCCAATGAACACACAGCCTATGTCACACAGTCAGCTGTGGTAAGCTACAAGCAGGACATAAGCAGTAGGCCAGGTCCATTCCCTCTCTGATGTTGCAAGAAGGTAGAAATCCCAATGTAGGTGGTCCAAGTCAGGTGTTTGTAAAGCTATGTTGGCATTTAAACACACATGACTGTCAAAGATCTATAAGTTCACACTGAATGCATGTTGGAACCAGAATTAAACCTGACACACCCAGAAATAAGTGTTATGGCCAATACTGCATTCAATAAGGAATGGGGACTTTGTGGACCAAAGGAATACATTCTAAAATGACACAATAAGTCACCGAAAATAACTATTCTCAAATCTAAATATACATGTTCACATACGTAACATTTAGGCTTCCGTAGATGTGTTTGGCACATAAAGTGTGTAGCACATATTTATTTATGCAAATATTTATAGAAGTTCTTAATTTGTGAACACTGTTGCTGTGGACACGTAAGGCTGTGCCATTTCACTTTTGGAAGCATTTCAATACTGGCCTGTCACAAACATGAAAATAGTTTAAGACCGCTGCAAAAACGGGGCGGATTATGACTCGTAAATGACACTCAGAGATACTATCGAACACTCCGGTTCCAAGATGGTCGTAACGACTCTGGATGTTGAAAAGCTAAAGGAAATTTAAAAACAAATATCACGGACGGTTTGTCTCAACAAACAGAAACGACCAAGTATTTCATTGATAAAACTCCCACCTAGCCAGAGAATGAGTTGACACCTACCAAGAAGAAGTCCACCTCCACCCGAGAACCTCTCTCTCTACAAGCTTGTCAAACCCATTCACTCAACGGACATATGTACTTCCAAAAATGGCTGATTTAAGAAATTTCTTAAGTGACCACGTCACAAGCCGCCACTGCTGTGTTGTTGTTCCTGTTACATAGCATGCTGATGTAGTTTGATTCGACTTCTTATTCCTCCTCGATTCTTGTTCTGGGTTACTTAGTTGACTTAACAAAATCTGTATGTATTTAATATGCACTTAGCGTCCCCTACAGGCACGGAGGGATGCCTCACTGAAGAACATTTCTGGGTATTTTTTGCAATCTACTGTCACATAGGGTTCAACACTGCATATTGTGAAAGAATCATACCTTACATCTCAAACACCTAAATATGAAAAAATACTTCTTTTTAAAATGGGTTTTTGATTCTTTTTGAGTTTGGAGTTACACATCCAAAAATGACGAAATATGGATTTGCGACTAAATAGAATCCCTTCTCTGGTCAGTAGGTGGCAGCAGTGATGCAGACATCGCATGTTAGGTGACAGGAGAAGAAGAAGTACTGAGGCAGCACTACGCACATTATCACATGCTAACTTCAGCGCGCCAAAGAACCGAACTTCACTAGGACGCCGGACAACTGAGGCAAAATGCCTCGCTACGCCCAGCTCGTGATGGGCCCCGCCGGGAGCGGTAAGGTACGTCCTCTACAACGACGTTACGCGTTCCCAAATAACTTGTTATGCTACGAAGCTAATACGTTGTGCTGGGGCATGAGGCTGCCTTCAACACAGCCCAAGTTCATCTTCTATTTGTCCTCTGTTTATTAACTGTTTCTCTTATTTCAGAGTACCTACTGCTCTACCATGATCCAACATTTTGAGACATTAAACCGCTCAGTTCAAGTGGTCAACTTGGATCCAGCGGCTGAGCACTTTGACTATCCAGTGATGGCAGGTAAACACATGATGCATTTCAATCAACCCACAACAGAAGGGCCAATATTGATATTGTGGAAGTAAACATGGTATTGTTTTTTCCCCTCATGTAAAACAATAACATTTTGGGGATTTGTTCTTAGGGTATTGCTTAGTTGATGATATATTACATGATAATGTTACTTATGTGCCTGGTGAGACCTGCTTAATGTTATTTTATAATTTGCTCATACTTTTGGTTTACACATTCTGTCTCTGCCCTATCAGATATCCGTGAACTCATCCAGGTGGATGATGTGATGGAGGATGACTCGCTCAGATTTGGCCCTAATGGAGGACTTATCTTCTGTATGGAGTATTTTGCAAACAACTTTGACTGGCTGGGAGAAACCCTGGGCCACATCGAAGACGACTACATATTGTTTGATTGCCCAGGTATCCATCCAGTTATGTTTCTGTTTTGATGGCTGCTGAGTTGTGAGCTGCTCTGACTGTTTTATCTGTACCAGTGACTGATTTTTTGTTTGTTTTACAGGTCAGATTGAACTTTACACACACCTTCCTGTGATGAGGCAGCTGGTAGAGCAACTACAACAGTGGGAGTTTCGGGTTTGTGGGATCTTCTTGGTAGATTCGCAATTCATGGTGGAATCTTTTAAGGTAACTGTCTTGCCAGCATCGTTTTATGAGTATGTGTTCTGTATATGATCTTTTTTTGAGATTTATTTTTTAATTAGTGGGTACAAACCTCTCACCTGCCTGTATCTGCAGTTCATTTCAGGAGTCATGGCTGCACTGAGTGCCATGGTGTCTTTAGAAATCCCTCAAGTGAACATCATGACAAAAATGGACCTGCTTAATCCTAAAGCCAAGAAGGAAATTGAAAAGTAAGTTCATTTGTAAAGTATATTTTTATGAAAGTATATCACAGTATTTATTAATCTGAAATACACATAAATAACTACCAGTTGTAGTTGTAGTAAGAATAACAGAAGACGTGTGTTTATAGTTGACTTAAAATATCTTTTGATTCTTTGTTTTTATGAGGTATCTGGACCCAGACATGTACACTATGATGGAAGACAGCTCAGATAGCATCAGAAGCACAAAGTTCAAGAAGCTAACAAAAGCTATTTGTGATCTGGTAAGTGAGCTTATTCTTTTGATACATAACTTGTATTAAAAACCAATCTTTTTCTTTTTCTTTAAAATAAATAAATAAATAAATCAAACTATTTATTGTTTTTTTTGTTTTCAGATAGACGATTACAGTATGGTAAGATTTCTGCCCTTTGACCGTACAGACGAGGAAGGTATTAACATAGTGCTGCAGCACATTGACTTCTCCATACAGTATGGAGAGGACCTCGAGTTCAAGGAGCCTAAGGTAAACAGCCATTAGCACAGTGCAGCTAGCTAAAACCTAACATAATCATGTAATATTTTTATTTGCTATGCATTCAAAATATTCTATTCTGTATTTTTTTCTAAAAGGAATTTAATGAGGAGCCAGCTAACCTAAATTACGACGAGATATTTCAAGATAAAGCCAGCTCCTGATGAGTAAGGGGACATGGAAAAAGCGGAGGAAGTCGGACTTTGCAATTAAAGGCGAAGAAAGAAGTGGAGCTGAAGGTTGCATCTGTCTGCATAACCACCGAGAAACCTACATGTGTAGCAGAAGAGCATCTGTGGACTTGGATTTTCATATTCAAGTTTCTGTTTTATGACTTCATTAAGATATTTGTGTAATTATTGTTGAACAATAGCAAGACTTGTTATTTAATATATGTATTAATGCTATTTTTTAAAATAAAACTAGTCAAAATGGACAAATGACCGGTGGGTGACAATATTAGCGCCCCCACGTGGGTGCTACGTAACACGACACGTAAGCACTTCCTGTACGGCTGCAGGGTGGGACAGGCGGAAGCAGCGTCTGGGCTTGCTTGCATATTTCAGTCACTGAGCAGTTGGACTGAATTTTTTTTTTTTTTTTCATTCAACATGCCGGTGAGTACATGGGGCACAATTATTGATAAATATTCAATTTGACTTTGCAGTGTATGACAAAAAAGCCACTTAATTCCAACAATAGTGCGATAGGCCTTCCAGTTAACGATAGCAGTGATAACGAGTGCGTGTAGCATAGTAAGCTAGCTTCCGTAGGACTGGGTAGAAATGTCAATGTTTGACGTGCGGAAGTAAATACGATGATGACTTATTGTATTCAATTTAAACGTAGTACATTTCGTATTTAATATTTTGCAAATAGGCATCGAAGCCTTATGGGAATGCAGAAGGCAATGCTACCGCCGCTAAAAGCCTTAATGACGGCCACCTCTTCCTTTTTCTCAGGCGTATCACTCAAGCCTGATGGTCCCCGAAACCAGGATGGTGGGGAACATGGCTTTACTCCCCTTAAAAACTCAGTTTAAAGGACCAGCTCGCGGAGACGGTAAGAATGCGATCCCGAACATGCCCCAGCTAGCATGACAACATCTGGAATCCAGTTAACACCCCAGAAACATGCTAACTTGGTCGATATTGTATGTATACCCTTAACATTTGTATGGTACATACTCAGTTCCTGATACAAATTCTAAGTTCCACTTCCTTATATGGCCTAAAAGTGCGTCACTTCTTCACTGGAGTCTGCTGAGATTAAATTTGCATAGAGAAGCAAAGTGTTTGAGTTTTATTTTTCTATAGTCAACAAAAGTGAGGGTTCAATCAGAAAATACAGCTGTGGGAGTGTTTGGGTTACTTCCTTGTTGCTTTGGCTTTACAAATTAGAAGTGGGACTTGAACAGTCCCTAAGATAAGAAGTAATGAAAAACAGGAAATGACTTCTTTTTTTTTTAACCTCAGGCATAGATTCTGACATCATCGATGAAGCCATATATTACTTCAAGGCCAACGTCTTCTTCAAGAACTATGAGATCAAGGTAAGATGTTCTACCCAAATATTAATACAGCAGTGCTCATGAACCAGAACACAATTCTGCTAATAAGAATAAATAAGAAACAAAAACAGATCAAAATTATGTAAAGCAGAAGCTAAACATGGACCAAAAATAATGTCTCCCGCCCCCATCTTTGTAGCCACTGTGCACTTTGTTCCTCCACATGCCCCAGCTTGCTTCTATTCCTTCCCGTCAGCCCTGCAATCCCTTCATAGTTTCTCAGAAATCGCACGGTTCTTTCTGTATGGTCTTTAACATCAACACTATAGGCAGAGATGTGCAGCTCTAGCCTTCTTTGTGGTGTTTCAGCCCACAACTTGTTTGTTTGTTACAGAATGAGGCGGACAGGACGTTAATCTATGTCACACTCTACATTTCTGAATGCCTGAAGAGGCTACAGAAGGTAAATTAAACTTTTTTTTTCCCCACTATACAGTGTAAAGCTTTGGAACTCGATGCTAAATAAGCGAGTGATCTAACGCCGCGTGGGTTTATTTGCGGGTGTTTACAGTGCAGCTCCAGGAGCCATGGAGAGAAGGAGATGTACACGCTGGGCATCACAAACTTCCCCATTCCTGGAGAACCTGGCTTCCCTCTTAATGCCATGTATCTTAAGCCTGCAAACAAGCAAGAGGAAGGTGAGAATCTGAACTAAAATGGACTTGCATGAAGCCTGTCTGTCATTTACAGAGGTCTGGAGAGAGTGACGGGAGGTAAGCAACAAAATACATGTATAGATAAAGGCTTCCTGCCGGGCCTGACATCAAAAGAATCTATAACTGGCTGCAGTGAAGTTTTTTTCACTTGCGTTTGGCATTAAATCGGCACCAGTTTTCCGATACGCCTGTTATATATTTTTAAAGTCTTTGTTATAACATCAAACCTTTAACAGATACACCAGCAAACATGCATCTATGTATCAACTCCAGATTTAAGATGAGACAATTCAGCAGGAATAAGCTCAGGCAGTGTTCAAGGCAGCTGTGACTGAAAGATTATTTTATTTGATTAACTGTCTAGGTAACAGCCCCTGTAGTTTGCAGCATGAGGGATGTTTTTTTAATTTTTTGTGCTTTTTATAATATATTTTTTCAGAGACAATGAGGGCATACCTGCAGCAGATCCGTCAGGAGACTGGTTTGAGACTGTGTGATCGTGTGTTCGACCCCCAGACAGACAAACCCAGCAAGGTGAGTCTTATAGAACAACTCGCTTTTTCCAAGCTCATGTTATTACTGGGGCAGCGGCAGTCTTTATTTAAATGGTTAACTTAAGAGCTGAATTGAACATTTTCCATTTTATATTGGGAAATATTCAAAGGTTCCATACACATATTTACTATTCTGTTATTCTCTGGGCCTGAGGCTTGTCTGAGCAGATGTGTGTTTCTTTCAGTGGTGGGTGTGCTTTGTCAAGAGGCAGTTCATGAACAAAAGCCTGTCTGCTCCTGGACAGTGAACCACAGGAGAGCCGCGGTTCATGATCCTCACTTGCAAGACAGGTGGATGGAGTTTCGGGGTGGGGCTGGGGAAAGATGGGTCTGCATTGCTGTCAAGATTTTATACTCATGAGTTAAAGGATGTGTCTTCATTTGTCTGGTTCTTCATCATATTGAGCTGGTGCTTAATTCAATAAAGAAATTGCTAAGATTGGAAAGTAATGCAGTGATTTTTTTCTTCATGCACATTCCATTTAAATTCAAAATGGCTTTTTTTTTATTACAGAGAGACTGGAATTTCTATTTGGATTGTTTCCTTTTTTAACTCAGAATAAATGTAAAAATATTCCAGTTATGAATTTACATGTTTTTACACACCCTGTAAAGTCACAATGACTGCCAAGATTTTATTCAAACGATATTCATGTTAATTTGACCATCAAAAGATTGTATTCTGACATTTTCTGTCACAAAGAAACAGAATGCTGAATTTGCTTTACATGTTCAATATAAAAATCACATATGGTCCATAGCAAAAGGCATAACGCATACAAGTTTTATTTGAAACATTTCTCAGAGGTTTTCCTTCAGTTGTTCCTCAGTGATTCTCTGACTTTAACTTGAAAAGGACACCGTTCAGATGACGTCCTGACTGTCAGATAAAAGCATCGCTGGGTTACAAGTGAAGATTTGAGCATAACATTTACAGGGAGGCAGCTATCTGTGATTGCACCTCTTTCATGTCTGCGACTTCTCTGAATGCGTAATGAGTTTTTAAAAGCGTGAATTTGGCTCAGTGTGGCAGGCTGAGGAGTGAGAGAAAATAAACCCAACTGAATAATGTGCACCTGAGAACAGCATAACTACAAAAATAAGTATATCGCTTCACAAAATGGAGCTAAAATCTGTATTCTCGTAGCACAAATGCATACTGGGCTTCCTAATAGTCCATCCTTGTCAAGTGACCGTTGGGAAAAACAGGTAATCAACCACAGTGGTCTCCAGGTCTCCGTTCCTGTGGGTAAGACAGCCGGTGACGTCAGTCAAAAGCCATTTCTTGACTCCTTCTTACACATCGGGCCACTTTCTTCTTGAAATCTCCCGTGGGATCCTCCCTCCATTCTTTCTGTATGGTGCAACACAAAAACACAATGTCTTAGTCTTGCTTCATGCCCACATGTTTTCCTTTTTGTTTTCCTTGTTGGCAGTTAGCTGACATGTTTATTTCACTTCATACAACGTTCACAGTTCTTAATAGGCCCACAGAGGTTATCTCTCATATCTACACAGCTATATGCTGCACGGGCCTTTTGTAGGCCTCTTCAAAAAGAGATGATCTCAGATTCTAATTTAACCCACAAGATGCTTCAGCATTAGACTAAGAGCCAGGACTTTGTACACAGAGGGCACGGACACTCACGGCTGCGTCCACGTTGGCCGGGGAATCGCTGTTGGGGTCTGCCAGCATGGAGATGACGCTGATCATGATGGTCTCCACCGTGTGGATGGGTAGCCAGCGCTCCTCGGGCTTCTCGTATCCATACTTGTCCTCACCAGGTTCATGCAAGATGGAAATGCAAACGTCCCCATTCTTGGCCACTGGCAGAATAAATATTTAGAAACATTTACGGGACATTTTTCTTGTAAATAAAATGAAAGAAACACTACAGTAGGAATGAGCTCGCAAAGTACCTGCTGGCAACCGCTCCTTCAGTCAGTTTAACTTTAAGGGAGGCAGATGCAGAATTGTTTAAACATCCTTAAAAAGCCCCTTTTATTCATGAGCATGAAACAGTTATGCTGCCAAGTGGCACAGCAAGAAGAGTACTAAAGGAATGCATTGTTACAATCATATTTAAGATCGTTACACAAATGATTTGCGTTGAGATTTAACCGTATCATGATTAACAAGTCTTATACAGCTGTTCCCTCATGCAGCTTTGTATTTATGCATGAATATAACCACAAATTAACACTCAAGTCCTAGAGGTAATTAAAACAGAACCCAGTTAAACAACAGAATGGATTTATGGATTTTTTAGAAATGTTTTTATCAAATTCCATGGCATAATTGGACTTAGCTATTCATAGATTTTGCATCAGGTTTCTACCAACTCTGACCCAAACTGGCTCAGGGCTCAGGCCCCAATGGGCCAGTTTTCTTAATATAACAGGATGTAAAGATTTTGCGTAATTCTGCCACTCAATTACTCAATTATTTCCCCCCAATAAATTAATTAACCAGTATAATACTCTGTCATATCTGTTTAACTGAGTTTATAGGTCTCAGATGACATTCCAATGAGGTTGCATATGGCGTTTATTCATAATTACAAACTCCACAGACTTTTGGGAGCATGCACAGTGGCCTTGGGTGTTCCATCTTACCATTTGGATGCCATATTTCTGAGATGAACTTCATCTTGGGAGGCCTCAAAGGATAGTCATGTGGGAAAGTTAAGGTGGCCTTGAAAAACCCTCCTTCACTGGAAATGAGAAACCAGCCAGTGTCACAAATGTCACTGCAATCACTCTCAACCAACGCCAGGCAACGTAAACACGCACGCACACTCACAATAATGTGTCTTGAGGCCCCATGACGACTACTTCCCACTGATAAATGTCATCATCGTCCACAAGTCCCGCAGAGAATCCCTCCACAGGGTTTTTGTTGAGCTCTGTTACAGAGGACATGAAGTGTTTACAGTGTTTACGCTCACCAACTCGTTAAGGTTAGCCAAACCAAAAAGAAAAAGAAGAGAAACAGCAGTGTATCGGGAGTTATAAGGGATGACACATCGCCATGAAGACAATTAAGTTGTGTGGCACTTTGTACGTGTCCATTTGGACTTTTTCTGCCAGGTATCGGTGCCAGAACCCAGGAACAAAACCCAGCGCTAGTCCAACGTGACTGATGACGGACTGCGGAGTGAGCAGGGCAGCTAACAGTCGGCTAACTCACCTGCTAGCTGTTTTCGTAACAGCAGCGAAGACTGTTCCGTCATTTTGTGGTTATCTCTTTTTCGGGTCACGGTTAATCAGGCCCAGACAACTCCAGTCAACACGGCTAATTTAAAAAGGAAAGAAAAAAGAAAGACAGCGGCAGAAGACCCACGTTGACTTCGTCCGACCACACTATTAAAGTACCCGACAAAAAGTCCCCGAGTATGATCTCTCAGGGAAAACTTGACTCCATCCTGTGCATTGCCCCTAATAAAACTCCACAGCCACTTTCTGATATTGCCTGTATTTGGGACTATTGGTATATTTTATTATATACAACTGACATTTCGTTATTTTAATGTGTATACAGCTGTCTGCCATCGTCTGTCTTTGACAAGCTGCTAGCGCTTGTTAAAGCCTTTGAGACCAAACCCAGGGCATAATAGCCGTGATTTAAAATGTTGGTTATCTGGCAACATTTTTCATAATTGTGGATTAGGATTATTATTTTATTCCTTTCTATCCAATAGACAACTCATGCATCTACAGCAAAAATAACAACAACATATTAAGTTTATTGTGTTATATTTTCCCAGCTATAACACACAGAGTCAACAACAATCCAGGACTCCTTAATGTTTTCAAATCAGTGTAATTTATTCATCTAAAAGATATTCCCGCAGGCATCCTGTTGGAAAAAAAAGCCCTTTTTTTTCTTTGTCCTACTTAAGGTACGATAAAATACCTAATTCAAATTAAAATAAAGTAGCTACCATGATTTAATATCATAATCAGAATTACTTTATTAATCCCTTGCGGGAAATTCTTTATTTGGCCGTGCACCGTTTACAGAAGAAAAAAAAAAGTTAAATACATTTTACAATCAACAGTATTTACAAAGATGCTCAGTGTCTAAATTACTATTGTTGCACATGACCAGGTTATTGCAAACAGTACCGGTAAGTATGAAATAATTAAATAATGAGTAATGAAATGAAATGACTGTCAGAGAGATTAATTATACAGTTTGATGGCCACAGGCAGGAATGACTTCCTGTGGCGCTCTGTGGTGCAGCGTGGTGAGATGAGTCTCCGACTGAAGCACATCATAAAGAGGATGTGTAGAATGATCAAACATGAATTTTATTCATGCCAACATTCTTCTCTCTGACTCTGCTGTCAGAGAGTTTAGCTCCTCTCCAGTAACACGACTGGCCTTGTGGATTAGTTTGTTAAGTCTGTTGGCCTCCTTTACCTTTACAGCACTAAGGCCACCACAGACTCATAGAACATCTGTAGCATTGTCCAGATGTTGAAGGACCTCAGCCACCTCAGAAAATAGAGACGGCCCTGGCCCGTCCTGAACGAGACATTTGTGTTTTTAGTCAAGTCCATTTTATTGTCCAAGTGCACCCCTAAGTATTTATATTCCTCGGCAGTGTCCACGTTGACCCCGCAGATAGAAACAGGAGTCACTGGGGCATAACTCCTTCTCAGATCCACCACCAGTTCCTTGGTCTTTACCACGTTGATCTGCAGATGGTTCTGCTCACACCAGGTGCCAAAGTGGTCCACCACACCCCTGAACTCCATCTCCTCACTATTGTTGATGCATCCAACTACTGCAGAGTCATCAGAAAACTTCTGAAGGTGGCAGGTCTCTGTGCAGTAGCTGAAGTCCGTGGTGTACAGGGTGAAGAGGAAGGGAGAAAGGACAGTCCCCTGCGGGACCCCGGTGCTGCTGATCACCTTTTCTGACTTGCAGTGCTGCAGACGAACGTACTGGGGTCTGCCAGTCAGGTAATCCACAATCCAGGACACAATGGGGGCATCCACCAGCATCACTGTCAGTTTCTCACCCAGTAGAGCCAGATGGTGTTGAATGCACTGGAGAAGTAAAAGAACATGACTCTCCCAGTGCTCGCTGGCTTGTCCAGGAGGGTGTAGACACAGTTGAGCAGGTAGATGATGGTGCCCTAAAGTCCTAATCGGGGCTGGTAGGCGAACTGGAGGGGGTCTAGAAGTGGTCTGACCATGGACCGGAGCAGCTCCAGGATGTCTCTCCAGGGTCTTCATGATGTGTGAGGTCTATGCCACTGGCCTGCAGTCCTTGGGGCCACTGGGGCACGGCGTATTCGGTACATATGATGTCTGCCTCACCATGATAGTGATCTGAAATTGCTGTTCTGAAATTATTCCAGAATTTCATGCTTGACAAAAGTGATCTCTCTCAAATTGATTGAATTCCCAATACCTTTTTGTTTTACTCCCAAACTTACTTATTTCGTTCCTGGAATTTCAATTATCAATGTTAACCAGGATTTACTTTCCCAGAAGCTCAAGACACCTAATTAAAGGATCCTTCCGTTCTTTCTGTTCTTGCCACCTTCCTAAAAATCAAAGAGCTCTCCAGTAATCCCACCTCTTAGTTTGTACTGGATCCTGCTTATGAAAAAAACAGTAAAGATACTCCCATACTTAAATGCTTTTATTTCTTTTATAGGTTAACTACATGTCTTAAAACATAGTGCTACATGTGAACAATGTTAATGGTCCAGGTTGTAAGCATTTACTATCCTTTCCATAAACCTAACCATTACAACAGCTAAATTGACCTGGGTTTGTTATGGATTCAACTCTATTAAATTCAATGTATAAAAATAGCATTTCCCTTTGTTGTTCTCAACATTACTACCTTTAGCCTGTCTCTGGTAATGTGGTGTCTAATTAAAAGACTCACCATTGCCAAATCATTGTCTAGACTCTAAAGCAACGGATCCAGAGAAATAGATCACAGTTGAACTTTACTAGAAATGTGTTTCTCTTCCTCCTCATCCATAAAATGAACCCAAATTTAACTGACTGTTAAATTTAGAATTTACAACTCCCAGCCTTTCATCAAACATGTTCCCCACACCCTAATTTTACTAGTCTAATTATAGTTTTTATGCGTTTTTCATTTAACCGTCTGTACTGCTGCATGATTCATTCCTCTGCAACGTGTAACAAACCATAAATATGCTGATGTACTTACCAAACCTCTGATCTTTTACTCTTTTGCACCCTCTGATTGGCACTCCCGTTCATTTGTATTGATCTCCTGAGATCTGCAATGTGTTTCCGTGACATAGTTTTGCACCTCTCCAGCAGCAATCTCACTGCCTGCGGCCTCATAGCATTCCAGTCTTCTAATGCATCTTTCTGACTTGTATGTTTTTTTCCCCCTGGAGGCATCCATCACATATTCCCACAGTCTTTAATCAAATATGTACCAGGTGAAGTTTCTGGTTTCGCTTCAGAGTTGTATTTTCTTGCTCTCACAGACCCTGCCGTCATCCACGCTTAAGAAAACAAGCTTTTGAAATCTTCCATGTCATCTCTCCTCCCTGTAGACTACAGAAGTGCAAGTGGAAGAAAATGTGTATTTTAAAAAATGGAAGGAAATGTGTCTGACCTGCAAATGCGATGGTGACCTTCGGCGATTGTTCAGACAGAACGAGAAGCCAAGATGACTGGCTGTTTCCTTCACGCTTCACAAACACCAGCTCATTCTGCGGCTGGCTGTTTCAACAGGCAGGTTGCGTCCAATCATATTTGTTTGTATGTTTACAACTTGGCCATCATAATCACGCACTCACAAGGAGCCATGGGCAGAATTAATTCTGTATAGGGCTCGGTATGCAGGATTCCGTCATAAGTTTGTCCACAAACACATCATTTTTTCCTTTTTTTTCACACTAAATGTTTTATTCAAACCATGAATAAAAGTGTGATTGTCTTGTTTGCTGCTACTGGATGGTTAATCTGGCTAATTCACCCTCTCACCAATTTAGTCATCAGGCTAATCTCATGATCAAATGTAATGATTTTGTGCTCATGAAGCTCATATATCATGCTGATGTTTCAGACCCAGCATCCCTCATCGCTTAAAGACATTTAGTCCAGAAGATGCAGAGTGCAGAGAGGCTGTAATTCAACTATGGCAGTAGTGAAAAAAAAGAAAAAAGAAAACGCAAATGTACTCTCTTGTTACTTAAACCTCCCCAGTTTTTCTTTCTAAAGCAGTCAGACCAAAAAGTTAAACAATGACACAAAGAAAACAAAAATAATGGCCTTATTAAAAAGTGAAACTTCAGTGACATGGACATTCAGTGACAGTCATGTGACATGGAGTGTATTTTTCTTTAAGGCCATATTCTTCGAGTGGAAAACACAACTGTCATTGACAGAGAGCTTGCTGGTCAGATAAGACCAAAGCCATGGGAAAAAGACTAAGAGACTTGATCTCTGTATACATTGATGTGTAAGGTACTTCTTTCCCAGGTACCACCTTTGTTCACAAGAACTATTAGAACTTTTTCTTCTCAGTCTGAACAATTAGACATCTGGACCAGAATGAGGCTCCTGACACTGGAATCTATTGTTTTACATAGTACAGTTTCCTGAAGTCAATCTGTCATCAGGTACACCTCACAAAACTATCAAATCAGACATATCTTTTAAAGCCCTGTAAAAAGGCTCCTTGACAGCTAAAACTAGGCCGCTGCATACGCTTTGCATATGTTCTCTAATCTTACTCTAAACTACATACTGCCATCATTTTGAAAAACGACTCCTTTATTATTAACTGAAATTTAGCCATTGTTTATTCATGGCTGTACACTTCTCAAGTATTTGCAGAGTCCTTTGCCTGGTTTGGCCCTTTGCTGTTTATTAGCCTTAAACTGAAAGATGTTCAGGAAGCCAAGCCTTTACAAATTGTCACATTAAATTGTGCTGTAAGCAAAATGCAGATTAAAAAGCCCCCCATCAACACATTAATCTTTTACAATGAAACAATAAAGAAAGACAAACACATACGTACTGGCTCCAGGGGAGGGAATGTTGCAGTGCCTTATTTATAACAGAATGTAATGGCTTTTTTGGAAAATGTGCCCTTAATTTTGAGCAATAACAATACCTCTGGCATTAGACGGAAGCTTTACTTACTGTATATATGCTGCTGCATGCTGGCTCATTTGTGTGAAGTAATGATGCTATTAAAAGCTGTATCATTAAGCTATGATGCAGAACTTTACTGTTAAAAATGCTGCATGGATTTGTGTCCGTGATCAAAGGCTGCAGCAACTCTCAGCTGGGTGGAGGGGGGGAGTGTGGGGCCCTGGCTAATAGAAGGTAGTGAGTTGCTATGAGAGGCCCCTTGAGCCATCATTCAAACTTGGTTTCACACACACAATCCTACTCTAAAACACACACCATCATCTAGTTGTCAAACCTTAGTTATCATTCTTGTCCTGCAACAGTGCATAGCAGGACTGCACCCTTACATAAACAAACCATAGAAAAGGCTTAATACGGCAGTAATTGTGTTTCTCCTCCCTGCAGACACACAGATGGAAACTATAAAGTGGTGAAGAGGATAATGGTGGTTCATGGATGTGCTGACGCCTCAGGCCGGACAATCGCATAGCTTCAGTACCTCAACATGGGAAGGGCATATATACTGTATTGGAAACAGTTTTGAGTGGTGTGCAGTTTGAGTTTAGTAGAAGTGGTGGTAAAAAGAATCCACCAATGTAAAAAAAGAAAAAAGGCATTTTCTCTTCTGAAGAAAATGTAAGACTAAAAGACAATTGCACAGTTTGCATATGAGGGCTGATAGGCTCTTGAGGGACAAAGGGAAACAAGATAATCACAGCTGACAGTCCAGGGCCAACAGATTAATTAAAACTGGTAATAAATAAGAAAGGTAACCTTTAAAAATGAAGCACGAGACACAAAGAACATCCAGAACTTGAATAAGAGCAGAGCGAAATGGGTTGTGGTTTGTAGTTTGGTTTAACTCCATATAGTATCTGGAGATAGGTTGTGTCCGTTTTCTTTGTAAAGCTTGGGACCTGCCCTGAAGCACACGTGCCGGCTCACTCCTCAGATTGCAAACGCATTTGTCACGTCTGCCTCCACAGTCCATGATACGGCCGCATGCAGTTTTTCTCCATTTCAAAGTCAGGAGCATCTAGCTGCGTGGAGGACAACTTCAATTGCACGGCGTGTCCCAGAGCTTTGCCTTCTGGCTCAGCTCCCCCCTCACCATAACAGACGGGAGCAGCTCTGTTATTACAGCTGATGAAGCCCCAATCTGTTTGTCCATTTCCCTCTCAAACCTGCAATCACAAGTGTAAAAGACACCCATATGCTTAAACTACTTCACATGGGGACTCATCCCCAACATCCTAAATGTTCGAATAAAAAATCAGGAAAAAAAAACTGAAGAAGAAAAAAGACTATTATATATGTTACCTAAAATATCTTTCTGACAGAACCGCGCAAGATGCTAAATGACTACCATTGGTAACAGCTCTTCTTTTCAACCTGTCACTGAGAATATGGAGAGGCCATTTCTCTGTAACCTATGCTTTAACACAGAGTTAATAGAACTGAATCGTTTTTATATCTAGTTTGAGGACTGAAGGCGATGCTGGCAGTGGAGGATGAAAAGAGAGAAAAGGGCACAATTACAGATCTGTTTGCAACCTCAGCAGCACGGACAGCTCCATAGATTTATCAATAAACTTCACAGTGAGGCTGCTAACTGTGCGGGAAAGGCACTATGGTCATTTTGTTTGCAAAGAAGAGAGTCGCCCTCATCTCAACTTAAACACTGTACTGACAAAAGAGCTCTTCAAATGCTGCATTTAGAAAATGACCCTAGTACATGTGCTGACAGTTTGACACTGATTTTCATCAGTGTATATTGATAGCAAAGTGTTCTGTGAAATGCATGTCGGTGTGTCAATTATTGTAACATGTTGGAGCCTGACTACATAGAAAAGTATAGAGTAAGGATGTCTGCTCTTTCAGAAAAGGCCAAGGATAGAATAGGACTTTCTCACTTTAACGTAGATGATAAAAAGGTGATAAACTCCATGAAAGTGAGGAAAGGTTTCCTTTAAACACTTAGTCTTGCAAAAAACAAGTATTTTTCTGATTTATTTTGTAGCTCTGAGTAAACATTTTGTGTAGACTTTGTTTGAAACTTATTCTTCCTTTCTTTAAACAATTTTGTGAATCACTGCTAAGTGACCTCTGTTATTTAAGATTAGGCACATGACATCGATGTGGATGTGGACACAGGTAACTGTTCTGCATTTTGAGGTTCAAAATACAGAGATTGAACTTGAAATGCAACTGGGTGAAAAATCTGCATCTTTTTTTTAAAGACAATCACTATGCAATTGACTGTATTGGTGAGTAAGGAAAAACATATGGCTTTAAGTGAGCCCTCCAGGAAACGGCAAAATAGTGCAGTGGCAGAAAGTCCCTGTCATGGTAATGAAGCAATTAGCAAAAAGGTTATTACTACTATTGCACTGAGAGCAAATGGGATTACCCATTCTCCTGGGAGTATGACTGTTTTAAAGGGGTCACAGAGATTCACTGCCTGAAGCCAGCAGCGTTTTTACCCAGAGCCTATGGGAATATTGAAGTTAATATACTTCATTATTTAGGAAAACAAGCAAATCAGTTGATATTTTAAAGCCCGTGTGTGCTTGTCGCCACAGTGTTTTTCAGCCTACAACACACAACACTCAATCCAGGAATGCTGCAGTTGAAGTTGTGATTGCATTTCCTGCACCAATTTCACTGATAAGAAACCAGCAAATAAATTAAAATCCTTTACTTTAAGGAGACATGCAGAAGGTGATAGAAACTATCGTGTTTATATAATCATACTTATAAGTTATACATAACTGGCTCTAGAAAATAAGAATAACTGACTAAGTTTAACATTCAGTCTGCTGTGGTGTGCCAAGAATCAGGAAGAACTTTTGTGAATTTTACACAAAGAAGACCATGAAGGCAACTATGATCAACAACTCAGACTCCCTTCCATCTCCAGAGTTGTCTCACACCATGCAGGCTTTTCAGTAGGTGGCACTGTGGCCCGCATTTTACCAGAAAAGTGTCTGCATTCTCACGTGTATGCTTTCAAACCCACACTGCGTAACTTATGCAATTGCAAAGCTTTGACAGTTTTCTCATTTATCTATTTTCTGTATCCACAGGAGTTTGCTGAATAAGCAACTTTCTGAGCAATCTTAGTAGACAAACACACCAGAGAGAGGCCAACTGCTTATGATTCCTGTAAAGTAAATGTGTGAGATAAGAACATCACTTTCCCTGTCCAGCTTCCTTCTTGCTCACCTGGGGAGCTACACCAGCGTTATCACAACCGCAAAACAGCCTTTCTGGCCTCTCAAGACACACATGCTGCGGCAATCTGGACATTTTAACTTTTCATTGGAATGATTTTATTCAAAACGTAAAGGTTCATTGTGTTCTCACGCTCGGTTTTTATTCGTTAACTTAAATTTCGGTAACATAACTAAAAAGTGTGTGATGTGTGTCTAAGCTCTCTATAGATCTTTTGCACACTATTCAGCCAAAACATTAAAAGGTAAGATGAACACTGTGCATTTTGCAACAAGGAAATGTTTTCCTGGAAAAAATCCTGCCCATATGCTTCAGAAGCATGACCAAATATACAACACAATGAGATATAAATCTGATTAAAAAGACCCAACGGCACAATTCCAAACAATCTATTGCTATCAGTACACACCAGGACACTATCACGTATATTTGTCATGTATAGACTAAGAGCTGATGTAAAGATTGACTTCTGGTCATACTATATTTATAATGTTATGACTTACCTTGGCTTAAAAGAACACTACAATTTTCTAAACCACTGATTTTCTTTGGGAAAATGTTTCAGACACAAACGTTCTTTAGAGATTTATAAACCCATAAACAATTAAAAAATAACCTGACATGTTGTCAGACCATACATTTCCAGAGCTTTTCTTGACAGCTCTGTGTAGCGTTTGCTAGAGAGTGTTTTATTTCACATTGTTACGACCTGCATTAATATTGGAGGGTTGGGAGACATTCCCCAGGGATATCTCAAAAACCCCGCGTGGCTGATTACATCCTGCTTTGATTTAAATGCACTCATCCCTCACAAACACCCACGGAGTCCAACCGTTCTTCCCGGAAATTAGTGGGCCGAACTGAGCGATTAATAAATGTCTGGTAAATAAATCTAATATCGTCACTGTACGGGTGATTTACCCCAATCGGGACTCCATAGGGTAACAGAACAAGGGGGTGTGTTTTATATTTCCCAAATATGCAAAAGTCTACATGAGTGCTCTTTTTCTATTGTCTCTTGCCCAATGACAAAATTGATGAATGTAGGTGCACATGAATGTGCACCTTCAAGTATCTAAAAGAAGTTTGACCTTTCAGCCTAACATGAGTCATAGACAGAACAATTCATAACTCCCATAGAAAGCATATAAATATACTTTTATGCAAAGTAGACCTCTGGTGTGTTCTTTATTGCTTGTTGACATTTAAAAAAGACATTTAACAAAACTGTCACTGTAAATTCTCACTGTCTAAAACACAAGACTTGTTGCCATTGCTAATAGGAAAGAACACAAACCAAAACATGCAAAACAACAACAACAAAAAATGTTCCCATCTGTTAACACTTCTATGACCAGGAATAACCGCTGTCCTGAATGTCCACTCCGCTGGTGGCTGTGGATGTTTCCAATGATCATCTGTGTTTATGCTGCTCACATGCAGCAATCTATGACCCAAAGGAAAACCAAATTTACGAATAAGATGACAGGATCAGCACAAGATTGACCTGGATTATGGAAAATCTTACAGAAATAATTCACGTGGATGTGTTGCAAGAGCTGGATTTAATCTTGTTCAATACCGTCCTCAAGAAGACTTACGCTTTAAGATATGAATCTACATCTGGGAAATGTGAATCAAATTGTATCACAGCTAGTTTTGAGAGGAAAAACCCTTGATGTAAAACATTAAAGTGCCATTATTTTACAATGGAGGACATTTCTTTTGCCTCAATGTGCTGCCTGAAGCACATCCCTGTGAAAGACAAACATATTTTTCTTGTTTGCTGTAGATTTAAGAAGGCATTTCTGGATCAGTACAATACTTTTATTCCCTCTGTCTCATCCTTTATGTGCTGAAAAATAAAGCCCAGCGACCCATTGTTTAAAAATTCATCTGCTGTTGATGTTTCAGAGTTTACAGGGAGGAAACTCAAGTGCGACAAGACTCAGGAGGCAGGCACAAGATTACTTATAATCTCTGTCTGAGACGCTGAGTTTTGATGTATTGCTCCCCAATATGACTGCAAGGAACACAGATGGTGCAATCTGAACAACCGTTGGTGTAATTGAGTTTTGTATCTTGCTTAAATACATTTACACTTAAATCATTCTAAACCTGGGCTTCAAGGTGGCTACCACCCTCACACTGTTGCCTCAGTGTGAGAGTTCCCAGTCTTGATATCTAGCTGGGGGGTCTTACTGTGTGAAGTTTGGATGTTCCATGTGTATGCACATGTATTCTGACTTCTTCCTGCTGTCCAAAAACGTGCATGTCGCGTGAACTCAGAGTTTCTAAATTGATCATAGGTGTGAGTGTGCAGGACTGTGAAAGATGTGACAGATAAGGCTCCAGCAAGTATAGCATATGGATGGATGAACGGGTGACTAAACCTGTGAAATCTTGAGAAAAAAATAACTTATTTCTACACAGTATCTTGAGGCTAAAAAAAAATGTACTCCTTGTGCTTTATACATTCAGTCTTTTGATGGAAATAAAGAAAAATAGATCAATAGTTCACAAGTGCATTTAGTTTAATTTAATTTCATCTCGCACTTTTCATGTACTTCTTGTTCATTCATTCCAAGGACGCTGAAGCACTCCTCATTCAAGGTAACTACTTTTACTGTTTTTCTACAATGAGATAGATACAATTGCCGTATATGCTCATGAACATTTCAACAGAAGAAAATTGTAACGTGACCATACCATCAAATGAGCCACAATCACCCTCAAGCAGTATGTTGAATATATAGTTGAATATATAAGAAAACTGATTAAAGCAACTGATGGACATTTTGAGTCAGACTGTCAAAAATTCAAACTGTTGGAAGTTGATAACATTTATGTTATCACAGTTGCGTCTCCTCAGATCTGCAAGACTTGGGGCAATAAGTGAAGAGATGAGGCTTATGTATTGGAAACTGTGAAGAGAAACACAGCTGCGGAACAGCAATCTAGAAAAATATATAATTCATAAAATAAATGAAAACATGGAATAAGATCTTTCGGATATATTTGAAAAGCCGTTTTCTATGTAGAATGATTTGGGTGATATTGTAAGAGGGTGCAGCTACATGGGAAAAAGAGGAAATTGTTTTTATTGCACTGTGTTGAGCAAAGCTGTGACTGTAAAAACAGTTTTTTGTTTTCACACTGTCAAGACAGACATGGATTAGTGAATCATTTCTGCAGTTAAAATTTTATGCAAGTTAGTGGTTTTGCGTTTCATGTATCCCAAAAAAGAATGAAAAAATACTTGTTTTGGTCAGCACGATCCGCTCAGTTGTCAAATTTTTTCTGATTCTAACTACCGTAATTAACTCTTCTTCATTTTGCTGTGCACACACAGAGCCTGCGTGCCTCTCAGATCCACATAAGACACACTTTTTTGGTCGATTAGTCATGGGTAATTATCTAATTTTCCTTTGTATCAAGCAGTGAAGACTGTGTGGGATTCTTAAGCACATTGCCCTGGCTGATCGTCACAGAATCTCCAACAGACCTGTCCTTTTGGAGATTCTATCAGGAAGTTCAGAAGGACAGAGAGTACCCTGGGTGGAAGTTTCATAAGAAAATCCTTATCCAGGTGGTAATATCGAGGACTTGAAAGATCTCTTGTTCAAATCGTGGGGACTGATGACATCTTGACAGGTCTTATGGCTCAATAGGTCTGAGGTGTTCTGGTCAAACAAGGAAGACAATCTCACAATTAGACAGGTGGCTTTAATGTTCTAGCTAAGTGCTGTACTTTACTGACAATATTAGATTAAAAAGAGTAATGGTACTGTATCACTCCATTACAAAAGTCCTACTTTTATAACTTTTGTAAATATGCTTATCTGCCTTTCAAAGAGAATTTAGCTGAAAAAAAGTTACATTTACTGAATATGATCATGCATTGAGTTGAAAACCATTTAGAAAAAGTCTTATCTCCAAAAAAAGAAAGTTAAATGGTTGAAGTCCTTCAAAAAGCAGTAAATAATCAGAACTCACCTCGGCAGGAATATATTTGATGGCATCTGATGTGTGGCTGTTTTCCATTATACCTGCTGAGCACCAAAAAGACTAATACAGATGTGAAAGAGTATTTAGGACATCCCATCTATGCATATTAAACTATTTTTCCAATTCAGTAAAGCATGTGTAATACTTGTTTAGCCGTGCATTTTGAAACATGGTTTAGATGTGGAGAGAAACAGGTCAATAAGTCCAATTAGCAGGGATATTGATCCAAATTTAAACTTATGTCTCTCATTTGCACTATGTTAAAGTCTAAAATCTCATCCATGCTTACAGTTTGCAATTTTTAAACACTTCTACACTTACAGGATATACTTTGTCATTTTTTCTCCCAGTATAGAAATTAGATACATGTAAACATCAGAAAATCCTAATTTCCAGTCATACGTAAATGTATTTGGTCCACAGAGTTTTAAATGTGTTGCAAAAATCCTTCTTGAGACCAGCAGACTTTAATTTTAGATTATGTTCATTTCTAATCTTCCAAATCCCAACTTCCAAAGACCATATTGAATGTTTCGGCCCTCAGGAACCAACACTTTGACTGGCTGAACAGAGACACCTCCTGTGACTACTTGTTGATTAAAACTTTTGAGTATAAGCAACAAAAGGATACCTCTTCGTATCATGAAGTGGACTCTTTTCTTCTCTTTACTGAAAAGACGCTATCACAAGGGCAACTGGAACAGTGTAAATAGTCAGCTCCTGGTAATCAGCACTGTTGTGTATATATTTGTGATTTCTGCTTAAATGTCAAAACATTGACAGTCACAGTCTTTGCATCTCAGTGAACAGCTTGTCACATGGCCCGAGATTTAATTTGCATAATTAAAGGTGGAAAAGCATGAGTAGTTGAAGAATGAAAAAAGGATATTTAGCCATCCATGGGCTTTTATGATTATGGCATATATTGATTTTATTTTTTTGTCTTGAGCGTCCAACTAAACCTTTGGGAATGAGCAAAGAATTAGTAATATTAAAGTAGTAAATATTTCTCTCCCCCTAACTAACAATTTACTAGCTGTATACCTAATTTACTACCTTTGAAGTGAGCCTATCGATTGGGATTTCAAATATGGCATGGCTATCACTGGGCGGCTTATCAAAAGCAGTTACTTTTCCTCTCCATATGTCAGATGCAATAAACAAGATGAGCTTATGATCAAAGAAATGCTGTTTGACAATGCTTTTCTTTGCATTTGGTTGCTCTAGCCATCCACCCTTGCTTCACCGTGCATTGAAAAGAGCAGAATAAAGATGCTGCAATTTTATACCCGTTTGCACCACGGCAAATTGGCTGTTTGTCAAACAGGGGCCTCATCTATCAAGCCCAATGCGGGTATTGAAATAGCCCCACTGGCTACAAATTGGGCAGATGGACCAGCCTTTATCTCAGACAAGGCTATCATCACTCTGTGATAGCTGGAAGGAAAGGAACCAGCCCATCTAAAAGTTTATCCTCGCTGATGGATGCAGCCTATTTGACCTCTCAGTGACCTGGGGCAGCAGGATGAGGGCCAAAATTGTGCAGAATTTCAATTCAACCACATGTTCATGTTATCTTTAAGCCTTGTTTAAGCAGCATCCTGACATGCTGCTGCCATCCATTTTTTACCTTTCTTCTTCCCAGGAAGACTTGTTTTTTTCCCCAGCTTTCCTTTCCATTCATCTCACGGGGTCTCTTTTTCTTACCATTTCTTTTTCTAAATCTTTCTGCTTGAATTCAACATTCATTTTGTGTAACCAATCAATGCAAATAGAGAAAGACCATAATGAAGGACAAGACAAATGGATGCTGTATTGTTAGCTTTGCCTCCCTCATTTTAAATACATTTCTGCCTGCTATGATTGATGGAAGGCTCTGTTCAGGTAATACCTCATTCCTGCTATTTTCCATACAAGTGGCCATCTATAATGGTGAGACATCTCGATTTCCTGACTTGCATAACCCAACAGTAAGTGCCTGTCAGTTAATGTTACATCTTGAATTAATGCGACCTGCGCTGTCTTTACATTAAAACTGATCAAATTATTACTTCTTGTCCAAGTATTGAACGTGAAGTCAAAACCAAGTGGGTTGATGGCAAAATATAACCCCTGTTTGAAATTGCCAAGTTTTGAGATCTTATATGAAAAAAAATAAAATAAAAAACTTTCACAGAGTGATCAGTCTGATAACTTTGACTTTCACATCTTTATAGATCAATTTTTTGGCTTGTCTCAGTTTAAACTGAAAAAGCTAATCCTTTTCTTAGGTTTAAATGCAGCTTTTATCAAATTGAACAAAGGTGCATTTAAGACATCATGATTTTATTATTTCTTTATTCTCAACTGAAGACAGGGAGATTATCTTCGCATGCAGGCTCTCTAACATAGACCTGTGCTGAGTTTATGGGTCTGACTGGAAACAGGGACATGGATATAGGAAACATCCACACTTTCTAACAAAATCTTGCATAATTATATCATGCTGTGTTCAGAGGAAAGGCCGCATCTTGATGCAACCCGAGAAAAGTGCTGAGCACAAAATCCATTTGAATACCTTTGACAGCTTGCTACTAGTTATCCATGTCGTCGCTGATGTGCGTGGGAGGCTTTTCAATCTCTGTTTCTTATCTGTCCCCGAAAACACTGTTCAACATTTGATCATTCATGCAAGTATGTTTTATGGAGAAAGAAGCAGTTATGTTTTTAACTAAATTGCGATTCCTGAACAATGAGCTACTGCCTTTGAGAGAAGGTCCAACAGGCAATTAAACAGAGAATCTTGGTCTAAACAGATGTTTGCAGTGGTAATTTGGCTGGTTGTTCTTTACCCTCCACAAAACCAGGAAGTACGGAGAAGTACATCGACGTGGAAAAAAAGGCTCAAACGATCCTGTGAGAAAATGTGTTCAGAAGTTGCCTAATTTCTTGTCTTCTCTATATACTGTCAAAGGGTTCAGCAATAGGCATCTGGGAGACTTAAATGTTTTAAAGAAAAAAGTAGTCAGATATGGGTACGACGGAACCGTTGTTAAAAAGAAAACATATCCAACATACCTCATCACCTGAAGAACACCATCTCTACCGGAATACATGGTATTTTTCCAAGTGCAGTGGTTTAAAGGTGGTACATGGTTGGTTTCCTGGCCAGGAACACTGACCATGTGTGATTTTATTTTCTAAAGAGTTTCAGGTTTCTCCAGGACTCCTAACACACCAAGAAGACTAGAAGGACAAAGAGATACAATTACTAAAGCAAGGAGACATGGTATTGTATAAATCCCAGTGTACCACTGCAGAGAACAATGACCCGGTGATGAGAGGATGTCAACCTGGAAAATAAAAGCAGGAGGGTTGATGAATATGATGAGTCACAGCTGTGCCGGCTGATCTGCTGGAGAATTAGGTCAAGCACACCCCAAACGCAAAGCAGAGGGAGAGACGAGGGAAGGACAAAACAAGACGAAAAAAAGAAAACCATAACATCTATGGAACTGAATCTGGGAAAGTGGTTTACTCTCACTAACCATGATACAGTTTAAATAGTTTTTCAGTAGTCTTCTGGTAGATGTTATATCTTCTTTGAATGGCCAAAGAAAAACCCACAATTCAATTTGATTGGAGATCTCCAGTATAATTCACCAATCTACACTAGCAGAACCTATGCAGTTTAAAAAATCACATCAGCCTGGGTTTAAAATCCTATACGGTAGGTGTTTTTAAGTTACATTAAGTAACATATGCAAAGACTGTTCCATTAATAATTGCTTATGTCAGAGTTCTTTATGGGGTCGCGATGTGATTGACTAATGTATGCGCACACAGAACCTTTCTGCTGTTTTCAATTTTTCAAATTTGACCTTATTTCTACTTTGTTTTTCAGCTACAAATGAGGTGATCCTCCAAAGTGGTGTGCACATTATGTTGATCGAATAGTACAAATGTCCCAAATGCCTCTAATTTTCTTTTCCTTTTTGCAAATTGACAAAGTAGAAGAGCCACAAAGAAGGTGTGTGCTTTTTATAAACCAATGATAGTTTTAATCAAATTTTCTTCTTCCATTAATGCAGCATCTGTGACAGTTTAAGGCAGCCAGCTATGTCCAGAAGCAATATATAATCCCTCCAGATTGGTCTGCAATGGCCCCAGGATCTGCTCCATAATTATCTTAAATTAAACTAGTCTGCATCTGCCAGAGTAAGTAATATGACAAAGAAACATAGTCATTAAATGAGTGCAATTAAAGTCGAATCCATTGCAGGAGTGCTCCCTGACTTTATGTGATGGAGAATGAATAGATTATCACCCCCATGGGAAACGGCCAAAACTTCAAAACTTTGGAATTTTCTTTTTGTATTCTTTTGCTATGCTCCGTTGTGGATGACAGAAATTCAAAATAACAAATTTTCAGCACAATTTTTTGTGTGTTTCTCACATCTATGAAGCAGACTATCTAAATCCCAACGCTTGCCCTTGGTGGGAGCACCATGAAATGCTAATCAAATTTAGGGAAAACCAATTCTGAACTCTGAGAGCCTTATCCCATTCTATCCTCTTGACTCACTGCGCGAGAGGTGTTATCAGTCCCTTAGGGTAAGCAGGGGAGCCTTGGCTTGCACGGTGAGGAATGGAAGAAACTAAAGGCTTCTAAAGGAAGAACACCCACACACAAAATGGACACCTGCAGAAAGTAAAACAGGTCAGGACTCCAGTGGTTTGATAAGGCAGAGGACTCATGAATTAAAGAGCTGTGTGGGGAATATGACATTCTTTCTTTTCCATTCTGTCTATCAGGACTGTACTCGCTTGCCAGTGAAATTACCTGGAGAGAAGCTGGTCCGATAATGGACTGCCAGAGACGGGATTCACTTCAGTAATTTCTCTCTCCTTGTTAGGGCATATTGGCATTGAAAATTCAAAACACTTTTATGGCCTTTTGGGAAATTTCAGGGACAGGGGAGTTACATTATCGTAATAGATCATTTGTATCTCCTTAAATACCTATTTTTCAATTGTGTAACAGCAGCCATTGTTCTGCAGATTTGGTATTGGATGAATATTGGATTTACAAGGCTCACTGCGCTTAATTAAAAGAGCCAATGGGAACATGTGTTCATCATTCCTCAAAGTTATGCGTGCTCACTTGAATTAAGGTTCCAGACGTTGCATAACTTCATAAAATCTGATGCTTTCTTAGCTCAAATCAGCTCACTCATGAAGATAAAAGGGCTGTACGGTTGTTTGGGGGTAAATAAGAACATTTTCCTCTCTTACTCCTGCTGCAGAGAAGCAGATGATTAATACAGAAGTGGTAATAGCAGAGAGGGGCAGAGATGCAATGGGTCTTCTTTCACTAATGATTGGTTTAAGTGACTGCTGTAATGGGCTGGAGTGCCTGGGCCAGTGATTTACACGATTTCTGTCTGTACGACAGGGAGGGAGCTCAGTCGGGGTGACGTTCCGACTCCTTCTTTGCAAAACCATCAGTGATGTATAGATTTATACATGTTAAGAATGCACGGTGCTTTTTTTCTGTCCTACAAAGCCAAGCATGGTTCTACATTCTTAATGCAGTTTGAACTGGCTGTTTGCTGACCTAACCTTTAACTGAGAGTGTGGGTGATGCCACAGAGGAGTGTCCTGGCAAAATGATACATTGTGCTCACAGAGAGAAAAGCTGGATGTAATTTTCTACCCTAAGTTTCCCGGTTCAAACTTTCCGACGATCGTGGCTTTGTTGGTGAGTTGAAACAGGAACTCCAGCTCAGTTTCATCGGATGTCTATGGAGCAATATGCATGAAGCTGTTATTACTCGCTTTGAAAAATATTGTTTTGTCCTTTGGGTGTTTTTGGTAGGAAACAAAGTGAAGGGGAGCCCGAGGGGGAGAAAAGGTGGGTAAATAGCTTTTTCTAATGGAGTCCTAATCTGTGGAGGCAATCTGCCGAGAGCTGCCCCCGGCTGTGCCAGTTGGGATGATGAGAGGTGAGGTGACAGCGTGGCCGTTATTATTAGTGGTATCATTGATCAGACAGCCGCACCATCAGAGCCCGAGCAGGATGATTGATTCAGTGGCTCCGGCCCAGCAGAGGCAGGAAGACTGCCTGGTCCAGTCTGGGAGGGGCTCAGCTCTTGCATGAGCTAAAAAGACCAAGTGCGAAGAGTATTTCAGTAGTTTCATGTCAATGAGGTGGGGCCTTGGCCATAGTTCGGATAGGGGGTTGGTTCTTTTGACAAATTCATCTATCTCAGGCAATGACATGCTCCAGATGAGAGGCTTTTTGTTGTTCGAGGGAGCACAGATAACTTTAACTAGAAGCTTGAGGAAAAAACTGATCAATATTTTTCTCTCTGAAGGTTTTCCTACTTTAATCCAAGTACCTTTCCTCCTGACCTATGTTTGCTCTCGGTTATTTTTGGGCATGCTTTCTTTTTTCCTGGGGTCATCCAGCGCACACTAAAGTCACAAGTAGCATTTAAAAACCACAATGAGACGCTGAGACAAAAGACGAAGCCTCAGCCTAGAATGATTGTCCGTAATTGTTAATGTAATCATAATCATTAACAATGCATTACAGACGACAACCAAGGTGGTAAGGAAGAGAACAAACAGAAAACTAAGACTAAAAGACAGAGGTTTTACAGCTCTGTGAGGCTACATTCACAGAGTTTGGTTTTAGAATGAAGGCCATGATACTGACAAGTGAAAGCTTTGGATGTGATAGAGGAACACTCAGGTGATTTCCACAGTGTGTTGGTGTCAGCCTTGTAGGCACGGAAACAATTTTATTGAATTTGACGGTATCCCAATCAGATTGCTGAAATTCTTTTGTCAGGCACAAAAGAGTGAACCAATCCCCAACAGCAGGGCGAAGAACAAAGCAATTAAATCTGACAGAGAGACAACGAGGGCAGAAAACTTTACCATCTTTGTCGCTGTCATACAATATACTATTGTGTCCGTTTAGCTTCCAATAGGTACAAATCAGGTAAGACAGAAAAACAACTCAGTCAAAAGATGTTTTGTCAGAAATCTTACACCTTAATTCATGGAGTGTTATTAGTGTATTCTCAAGGTCTTGCAATGCCCTCTTTTTAAAGGTCTCAAACACAAGCCCAATTGAGCCTGAAAAGACAAAAAGGAAAACTCAAGGTGGTAATATCTGGTAGAGATTTAGATAAAAAAAAGAAAAAGAAATCCAGCACTACCAAACAGCAAATAATTTCTTTACATTACATTAAGGAGAAACAGGCACATATGAAAGGATCTGTGATGTGGAGGAGGATCCAGAACAGGGATGTGAAGAATAGGGAGAAAACAGTTTTATCTCTGAAAGCATTTTTAAAAAAGCATGACAAAACCAAATTATCAAACAAACTTAAGTTGAGCAGAGAACAACACCATGAATATAGAAACAAAGCAAAAACTGATCAACGGCAGCCTACTGACTGCTGACGTTCCAGCAAATGGTCTGACCAATAGCGAGTGAGCTTTAAGTAAAGAGGAGGCTGATGAGTGAGTGGACACAGCTGTGAAAACTGTCACAGGTGAAGGCAGTGGAGTAGATGACGAGAGTAAAAGAATAGTTGGGAGACTATGGGTGAAAAAGGCCAGGAACAGAAAGAGAAACTTGGAAGATGAAAATCAATACAAGAATATGGAAAATACAGGAATGACCAACTCAGGGGAAGATGCCTTAAACTCAAAGGGTAAGAAGCTTTACAAATCAGAAAATTGCCCAGATTTAAGGAAATACTCAGACTGAACACCAACAATACAGAAAACGGTACAGAAAAAAACAAGAAATCCGAAACTCATGACAGAATTGTGTTTTTGAGCACAAAGACAATTTCATGTCTGTTGATTCATTTCACATCTATTGATTCACTTTCCCTTTTATGTGTTAGAATGAACATTTCCCCACTGCAGTGTTGTTTATCTTTAGAAATCAGTTTGGACAATTTTCTGTAGAAAGCCTAGATTAAAATTTTTATTAAATATGCTTTAGCTGCCATTATTTTCACTCTCAGAGCAAACACATTTTATTGCCTTCAATTTTCACTTTACATTTTTTCAAAGCGGCTGAACACAAAAAAGGGTAAGATTCAGGAAAATTATCTTTATTTAGAAAATTAAACCTCAAACTATTCTGACTGCATTTTTCATTTAATGCAAATGTTATTTAAAAATGTAAGGTATAACGAGAGTTTTTATACTGACAAAGGTTACTATATTATGAAACTCCATTCTGACAGCTTCAGTTTCAACATCAATTTGTTTTCTTTATATTTTTTTCTTCATAAGACTAACTTTCTTAAACATAAATCATTTCCAAGGGGAAGTGCTTATGCCTGTCTGGCTCAGATAGAGGGCACAATTGCTCTGAAGCTGACGCTGAATCCATGCCAGCTCCACAAAACTCAGTACTGATCCGTGGGACATTGGAGACAGTCCCATCCCCTCTCCTGGCAGGAGACCAAACATGTCTGGGCCACTTTGATGCCATCCCAGTGACTTGTAGTCTGTTGACATACGGTGCCGAAGTGAAGAGAAGTCAGCCCCATGAATAGGGTAAAAACACTGCTCTGTAGTTCTCTGCTGATCCAACCAATAATTCTAACAGCAGAGATCAATGAAAGCTTGGTGAATCCAGTCATTTTTTACATTCCGGACAAAAATTCCGTTGGGTCTTTAAATCGCTTGCATTTTATGCACAGCCTTGTTTCCATTTCCAGGATGCCTTAGAAATAGGTTATTTGATTAAATTGAAACTCTAAAAAAAAAAACGGACTTGGAGATTGCATCCTGCACAGACTTCTAATCATTATTCCACAGCATTCTTGATTGTTAAAGCCAGTATTTATCACACTTTGTCTCATTTGGGACTGCATTTGCTTATTCATTCCCCCTGCCTGAACATTGTCAGACTGGTGCTTTCTTTGGTCCGTTTGTACATCTTCTTCCTTGTGATCAACAGAAACTGCTAGTTGTCATTCCAAGCTTTGGTCTAAAATTTTCTTCAATTTCTTTCTTTTCTTTTTTCTTGTAACACTTTTCTGTTTACAATAGCTACTGAAACGGAGATCCTTGTACATGACTTAACATTCAGTGAAATGCTTTGATTTTGATTCATTATAATTCCAGTTTACACCCAGTGCCTCTCAAGTTTTTTTCAGTCACATTTTATGCAAACTTCCTCATATGATGTAATTTAATCATGTGGATCCCTGTAAGTGGAAGGTGCAGCTCTTGCTGTAGCTGCTTTTTTTTCTCGCCTTAAATCCATTATGAATATAATGCCCTAATGGTTGCTGGAGGGAAATTGTTCACTCTGTCTGGTTGCCTTCCTGCAGATGTTGCCCTTCTGTGCTAAAGTCTGCTGTTGTGAGCTGAACTGTTTACTAAACTTGTTCTGCTTTTACTCGTTTCACTGACATGACCAAAAGTGTGAAGAGAGGCTTCAAAATATTGAGGCAAGGGCATTGACAAATTGAACCTGTGGAGATATCTTCCCTCAACTTTGGGGTATTGGATTTGATGCCAAACAATATGAGTCACATATTTGTGGGCTTTATGTTTCAATGCAAGGAGCCCTCTAACCCTATCTTTTTTTATTATTTATTTTTTATCCATCGTGGAGTGCTTTTGCACCGCATGTCATTTTATATTTGCGTCAAGAATGGAAAATGCCTCTAGCCAGTCACCCTAAACTAAAGGGAAGAAACCGCATTTTCTATAATATCACTGTGAGTTTATATGAAATTGTCTTTATTTCTTCTGCTTCATGAAAGTGGCACATTAGACATGGACCTGGAGATGCTCGCTGTGTAATTTTTCAACTGTCATTTTCATTCATGCGAGGGGAAATATTTGTAATATTCAGCATCTTATTTTATATGAAATTATACATAGCGCTACTTCAGGTCACCCATAACTCCAAATCAGAAATCCTTATGGGAAAATTATTTAACATAGTGGTGTGGATTTTGCAGGGTTGTAATGGCTGAGCAGAACATTTCCACATTGAAGCTGTGAATGTTAAAGCTGCTTGTATGCAAAAGCCATTCTCAGCTCTGTGACACAAGAATTCCAGTTACGGTCACCAAAGATTTAAAAGGCAACAGAATGCCGCAAAACATGTGGGACAAGAGTTGTAAATCTGTTCAGGATATACTTAAATGTATGCAGATTCAAAATTAGAAATGATAAAGTGAGCTTTATTGACAAGGATAAGTTCCGTGTTACATAACCAATGAACAGAATACTAATGAACAACCCTGTGGTTGTGACATGCTGACACAGTGCTCTGAACCTTTTTTATGGAGAGTAATTTCACTTGGAGAAAGAAAAGGAACAAAAGCAGACATCTGGATCTTGAGACAATGAATCTGGTACTTAAACTCAGAGTTATTATGTTATATGCAGCCAGAAAATGACTTTCAAGTCAAAGCCTGCTCAAGACAGATGACATTCCCTCAGAGCAATTCGGCGAGCATTCCTTAAAGTGGCAGACCAATCGGTGTGGAAGCAGTGAGTGGCCTGGTCACATATTGAAATGCAAATTCTCAAAGTGCAAATAGTGCCAGGTTTCTCCAGAACAAGGCAATTCCTTCAGAGCAACTTCATCAGTCCGTTTACTGTATACCAGGTTCGCCTCGAAGACTGACGCCCCAAAGTTAAAAATAAAAAATACAGTTAACTATTTTGGTTGAATTGAAAATGCACAACACATCAGCAGTGGTGCAGACATGCAACAAGGATAGACTGCATTCTTTGTGCAACTGTAATTAAACTTTTTATCAAGAATGTATTATTGCATTTGAGAATATTCAATTATCCACTAAATTGGATAAATCCATATTAGCAGACAAGTAAATAATTGAAAGCGGGCAGTAAAAGGTAAAGTATTACCCGTGCAGATAATGGCATACTGAATGAACTGATTAAATCGGTTGTATTCAGGAAACCTGCTTCATCCCCCTCCATCAAGAGCCTCTATTTACTATTCAGCAGGATGTTCCTTGTAATGAATGAGACTCATAATTGCCCTGAGCCCTCCAGAGCCAAATGAATCATAGAATACTCCCTTATGGGATTGTGTCGCCACTGTGCTGACTAAACAATAGGTTAGGTTGGGTTGCGTTTATGTCGATGAAGTGGTGAGCAGTTTCATGGTTACTTGTTGGCTAATGAGCCATCAGTGCCTCCTGACTGTTGGCCTTTTTCTTTTTTGTTTTTCTGGCTCCAGTTGTTCACCATTGATGCTGGCTGATGTAGACACAGGCCAGATAACAAAGAGAAATAAACTTTTCCTCCGTCCTTAAATTGCACCCAACTATATCTGTGTAACATCAAAAGCATTACGCAGCTGCATCTTGCCTCGTCGTCCCTGGCTGTGACAAAAGCGGGCCTCAGAAGGTTGGAGCATAACTCTCTTCAAGCCATTTATATTTGTCTCTGGCGGCATGAGAGAAACGCCAAAGTTCTATCCCTGCAATTCCAAATATTTGTTTATCTTCTATTTGTCCAGGCCAGGAAAAAATCTTAAAGATAAATGCCATGCTGTAGGTGAAGGTAAACCTCAATGATTGCACATGGTCATTGGCTGTCAGATAGTGCACCGCTGGTGGTTGTTATTAGCCAGGGGCTTTATTACCTCTGTAAAACATTCTCGCCGTTAATGTGCAATAGAGCTCTTCTTTTCTTTCCGCTGCTCCACTGCACCTTGTTGTCTTTTCATTACAAATGTACTTTCCCTACATTTGAACAACTTTTCAACGGTTCCTTGAATAGCAGGCGCTGCCTCCCTGGATTCAAAAGGATTTAAGTACTTTCATATGTCACTCTGACACATGGTGAGACTGGAGGGTGACGGGCCATTGGCTCCACAGTTAGACATTTCATCTGATACAGTTTGATGTCATGATTAGTGTGGTGGACAGTGGGCATTGTATCAGCCTGTCAAGACACACTGACACAAACATGGCAACTGCCCCACCCCCCCAACAGCATCTTCCTTTGAACGAATTGCTCAGGAGACATTTTGTGATTCAAAGGTTGATGCTTCTGCCCTTTTGTGGAGGCTGTTTCTGGAGGTGTTTTCAGCCCTGGATGTTTCCTATGCTCGCTAGAATAGAAATTATTTTAGAGACCATCAAGAGTGACTGGACTGCAGTTAACATCTGACCGCATTATCAAATTAAAGCTAAGGAGACCCTTAGCTCTGATTTGGATCCAACTACATTAACAAGCAAGGACACTCTGGTGACATTTGAAGTGTATATATGTATCATACACAGTCGCTTAACATCCAGCTTTTTAACATCCAACATTTCTTGGAATTGTGTATTTTGCATTACTTCAGACAAGACATCTGTTACATAGTTTGACAGATTTGAATACTGCATTCATCTTTCACTGAACCTGCCCACACTTTAGAACAGAACATGAAGCGGCGTTGCGTGAGGCTCTAAGATAGCTTGTGAAATTAGTTCATGAAATAGTATAAATGAAGATGCATATTGATACTGATGCTCACCTTGCGAGGTAGCTGGAGCATGAAATCAAGAACCTGATTTGGCAGACCTCAGACATCATCTCTGTGCTTTTAGCTGAGTCAGTGGTTCAGATCGATAAAAGATATTTGAAGAACCAGCAGCGACTAAAGGTATTTTCATATGAAAATTTGACTAAAAAAAAAAATCTAATTTTAGCAATTTGAGTGAGAGGATCCAAGTTAGGTTTTAGTATTTATTTTGTTTCTTAAAAACAATGTAGGTTCAAAATGTCATACCATACGATAACCACATAACCATCTCTGATTGGTTTACATCTTTGGAAAACCCACACTCTGCAAATTGATGTTTTTGCTCCTCTTCTGGGCACACTTCAAATTGGTTAGATGTAGCTCTTCACGTTGGATATGCTAACCTGTGGAGAGGCTTGTGTAAGTTGCAATCTTTGTTGTTTTTTTTAGTTTATGTGCAACAGTTAGCCTTAGACCAAAATGATGAAAAAAGCAAATCTGCTCTGTCAGTCTAAGACAGTTATTGTGTTACAAGTTTATTCTTATATATTTGTTCTGATGCTTCTGGCAGGTTAAAATATGGTTTCAACAACTTCTGAATTAGACATATAAAATTGCACTTTGATTGTCATCCGGATTTAATCCGATAAATCCTGCACATATTTCTTCTTTTGTATTACGAGAATATGATAAGAAATAAAAAATGAAATGCAAAAGAATAAACAATTTAAAGATGGATAATAATATAATATAGTAATGTGTAATATTACATGCAAGAACTGTAGTAATGGTTGGCTTTTAAATCAACACGGCCTTTGTATTTAGAGAAATCATGCTCACAAATCATCACAGGAGCAGAGAAGTAATTGATTAAACTTTTGAAAGTGCATCTGTAATTTGCACTGTATGTTACCAGCAAAGTGTATTACAGTTTGGCTTCTAAAGGACTCTGAGCCCATCACTTAGGCCTTTATTACTGGGGGTAAATAGGCTGCAGGGCAATCTGATGCTGTCTGTCCCATTTAGCCAGTGACTGCAATTGGGAGCTGATGGCTGGCATTGCTGCAGACAGCCAGATTACAGAGAAGCTGAAGGGGCAAATACAATGCTATTCTCTGTGTCACAAGGCTGAAAGGGGATGTCCACTGGCTCACAGGAAAGTATCTTTGCAATACCAGCAGTATGTTTTCCTATCCGCACTTGGTGTGTGATCAGAAAATAAGCAGAGATGCTCCCCTCCATGCAGAGTGTCAGGTTGTTGAAACGTGTTCCGAATGCTTGCTCTTATAGTAATGTTGTTGGCTTTACTTGCGTGCTAATGGTGAAATGAAAATGACCCCTTTCTGTCTGTTAAATGTTTGAATGTATGGAATATTTTATGACTGAAGGAATTTGTGGCAATGATTCATGAAGCGCTTTCTATGAGAGTGGAATCAGTCTGAACAAAGCATTTAGTGGCTGGGAGATCATGAAATTATTCAGGCCTTATGTACTTCGAACCCCAAAGTGGAGAACTTGCTAGAGATGGACATTGAAATGTGGAAAATATCATTTATTATTTGGGAGGAAATTTTTTCTCCTGTGTTGTGCCTTAAGGAAAGCAATTTTACTAATCATAACATTTCTCATTTACCCCCCCCACACACATGAAAAAAAAGACAAAAAAAAAACAGTGCAACAACAAAGCATTCTTTCATTTCAGTGAGATTCCAGACATAAGATATATCCTTCAGTGAGAAGACGATGGGCTTATTACTGTTAACGATCTCTTCATGTTCCACTTGCAGTCCCACTGATGAGCATGCAGGCAGATCAATGTTGCAAAGAGCGTTATGCTCATTTGCCAACATCAGAAAACTGCATTTTTCAGTCTTACAAGCATTAAAACTGTTGATTGTACTGTCTTCCTTTGGGTGGTCTTTTTTTCTTTGAGAGTTTAAAGACAAGGTTATTATTAATTTGTGATTTGTTGTCAGTCTGAGTACTTTTCTGCTGAAATATAGAAATATCTTTTAAAAAAGTGATTAGCCCAAGTGTGGAGGATCCCGAAAATCACTGAAGTGGCAGATTTCCCTGACAACTGATCTACTGAAATACATTGCCTTTCTAATAGTGTTTCAAGTATTCAACCATGTTGTATTGGATTTTTTTTAGTACTACTCACAAAAGTATCTTTGCTTGTAATTAAAGCTATCTGATGTTGAGTGTTATTGATGCAATGTGTTGTTGAATGCTATGAATTATTTGAACTGACTTGGAGCTGCTGAAGGGTGAAAAAAGAGAGAAAAGCCTGCATGTGACCCCAAATAGCAAACATCTGGCACTGATCGAGCTTTCTTACCATGCATCAGGTGACTGACTGAAGGTGTTTTGATGAAATGGGACCATAGAAAATAAAGGCAGTTGTGCTAACTTACCAAGAATAGACTTTAGTTGGACTTTATTTGATATGCATGATATAGTACAATGTGCACAAATCAAAGCCTTATTTACAGAGTATTTGACTTGATTAAAAAACAATGTGGGTCATTTGATGACTAGAATGATGGCAACCAGACTTTGATTCATGGTATTTACTGTTTCCTACTGCAATGATAATTATCTAATTCATAAAACGGTCATGATAATCTTTTAAAGATATTCTTACAGTCAGTTCACATTAGACATAATGGTTGTATCGAAGGCCATGAACTTTGGAAATGGACCTCACCATATCAAAGTGGTCAGTCACTCAGAGTTAACTGCTCTACAGCATATAATGGCAGCTGAGGACGTTCAGGCCTTGAGCTCGGCTCTCTCCCTGACTGCCTGTTGTTGGTAATGGCTGGGGGAGTGGTGCACCGGGCAAGTAAAGACCATGGCAGGTTAGACATCAATCTCCCCTCATGGCAGAAAGGTCTCTCTTGGAGACTGATAAATGTTAATTACCCTGTCCTGACATCGGCGTGAGAACGCAGCTCAGGTAGAAAATGGGAAGGCTGGTCAATAAAAATGACAAGAAACATGAACTTTATTTTTTCCACAGGATATCATAGATACTGCTTCTACAGTAAATGCTTACTTTTTAAAACCCGATGAAATGTGACTGTTGCCTTTTCAAACATTTGAATCATACTGTGATTCATAGAGCTGAACCACTGGAACAAAGTCCCTGCTTGTATACAGCTGTCTGACATCTAACTCCTGAGCTGGGCTGAACTAATCTTTCTTTCTGTAATACTAACTTTAGATACATTAAAAAGAATTCTCAAACTATAGCCCTCAGGCAGCCAATAATATAACACGTTTGCAGCAACTGCTCAAAGCATTTCTCATTCTACCAGAATGGAGCTCCGGCCTGGAGGATCTGCTGTATTTACCACAAGATGCCAAATCTGCTAAATACTTCCATATGGTCCTGTTAGTGTAATGGCTATGTTGATGTTTTTATTAAGGCTTTGAACACAGAGCATAGATTATTATGCAGATGAATGGCTAAATCAGAAAAGCATTGAATGTAATCAAAGTTATCCTGTAATGTGCCTCAGAGATGGATAGTACAGTAAATAAATGCAGTTGTGGTGTTTGTGGATTGTGTGGCATAATGAGAGAGCCATTTTACTGAAAAGCTTCACTAATTGATGAGGAAAATGTGAAGAGGGGAACAGAAGAGCCATTCATTTGGGCAGGCGGCATATCCTCCATACATTTGTCCTCGTTAATCAATATAGATCAGCTAACAGCCTTGCTCCGAGTCTGCCCAGTGAAAGTGACAAGAATGTAATACGGCTAATCAATACTTAAGCGATTTTTGCCTCAAAGAGAACACATGCTGTGTGAGCGAGCCAGCTGACGTATCCTTAAGATATACTCATCACAGAGGGAGGGAAGAACTTTTCAGATTTCAAACGATCTCACAACAACATTTCTTTTGTACAAGACAAAATGGGGCAATAATTACATTGGATGACAAAATGCAAAGTTATTCTATAATCAAAGCCACATATGCCTCATTATGTTCAAAACAAACAATAATGTGAACAGGGATAGGCTCCAGTTAACCGCGACCCTACGAGAAATCAGCGGTACGATGAGTGAATGTTGAGTTAGCCACTGAGACCAATATCTGGAAAACATGTTCAGGTTAAAAGATAGATAAATGGATGATTGGATGGATATGATTACAGCCAGATTGTCACAGACAATCTCATTCTGAGAAAAGTAATTTAAAGTTTGTTATCCATGAACTGGCAGCCCTTTGATTCTGACATCATAGGACTTGACGTTGCCTTCTGACTAGCAAGAACATTTACCCGCCTTACTAAGATTTGTCAACCCAGCTGCATGTCAGACAGTTGATACTGACATTTCAGCCACCGTTAGATGATCCACAGTCAGTATCCAGTATCATGGAGAATATATGCGCAATTTGAAGCTTAAACCACATTCACAGAAGCTTTCTTTTGATACCTCTCAAGTAAATTCAAATTCCATTTCTGCTGCCATTCTTAAAATATCAGACAGTGGGGAAAAATTCTCCATTTGAATACTTTTCTCTTTTTAATACCAGTCAAGTCTGGATTAAGGTGTTTTAAAGGCACTTTTGAGTGCCTAAGCCAACGTCACCAAAGACCTCCTGGGTTTCATATAAATCACAAACGATCCCATCTTTTGACAGTCAATTACAATATCTTAATTAGCTGTCCAAGCATGGAAGATTGAATTGAAAGTCTTCCTTGTTTCTTCATGTGGTTATCCTCGATTATATAGGGTCCCTTTTAACTACTGTTTCCAAACAATGGTAGTTCTGGTGCAAACCATGCCCTGCTGATGTCCTCTTTTCTATATGGATGATACGCAGTCTATACATTGATGTAAAGGTAAAATTGGTTTGTTTGTCTTTTTGCACAGGTTGTTAAAGCAGCCCAGTCTGACTCTGGGCAGCAGATTTCTACGCAGACTCATCAAAGGTAATTTACACTTCGATTTCCATCATTCTCAAGAGAATTCAATGCTCTGTATGACTGTCAGTACAGTGGTGTGCTGATAACCAGCCTGGCCTCACAGCAAGAGGGTTTCTGTTTCGAATCCCTGAGGGGGGCCTTTATTTTTGAAGTTGACCACAGTTTTTCAGGGGTTTCTAACCCAGTTATATTTGCTCTGCTGGCCCTACGCTGGGGCGTGTTGCAGTCTGTCTGGTAATCTACTGCCATCGACCAACTTGCTTTGCGTAAGAGGTTAATATTTCAATGCTGTTCTCGGTTATTGTGAAATAATGCAGGACACCGTTTTCCAGAACCCACTTTAAATGTAAAGCGGTCTCTTTCAGTGCTGGTAAGCAGATTTCTCGGCTTACAGATTTTTACTTTCTGATCTCCTGTGTGCTTCTAAGTATGTGTCAGTAGTAGCTCCATATTTCTAATATTGATCTCATTTAACTCTTGTCAAGTCAGAGTACGAGTCATTTTTAAAAAAAGAGAACAATTCCTAAAGGTTATCATTTATAGAATGTTTTGAAGTTTACAAGAAATGAAGTGCTGGTTAATTGCTTTCCCCCTGCACCTTTTCTTGGGACGGGTCAGCGGGAATATGATTTGCCCAGCAGCATCGGCCTCCCTGCCATGCGAGGATTTTCCTGGCCGAGCACAGACTTTGAGATGGACTGCATGTAGTGTACCAGCAGTAGAAAGCCTGATGAGATAAATTGGCATGCTTAACAACATGTTTACTTCAGTTATGCTTTTCTCCAACCAATAGTATCTCTGAAATGCAGTGAAACTACCTCAGACCTCTATTTGTGTTGAAGAATATCTAAAAGGTGCAAAAGAGGGAGAGGGTAGGTATATTTCACAGCATAATCGCATGTTTTATTCATGTCAAATCTCGATCATCTGCCTTCTTCCCCTCATTCATTGGCACATTATGATATTATTTTGTTTCCAAAGACTCTGCTGAGAGAAGGGCATAAAGCAATTTATGTGTTAAAATCCCTAATCGGGTAAGCCTGCAGTAAATATCCCACGTGCGTCTGTGTATGAGAGGAAGAGATGTAATGAAATCAAGTCGTTCTTGCTTTCCTTTACTCATCGCGCATGAGAGTTCACCGTTTATTGCATTGTGATGTAAACCTGTGATCTTCTTAATTTTGTGCTGTTAAACCATAATGGCGCAGTGGGGCCTCCAACAAACCCGCTCAATTTAACATTAATAGAGAAAAGGAATGTGATTAACTCTCCATTTAGTCTTTACACTCAGATTCCTTTCTCATCAGCACTTATACGGCTGCCTCATAACGTATGGGTCATTGGTAGCAGAGATGCTTTGGTACATCCCGCTGCTGCAAAAGCAGCCAGACAGGCTTACCTGTGCGCATGGCTCGCTGAGCATCACAGGCGAAGGACTACATTATCTGTTTACAAATAGATCTCATCACACAGCAGCCTTGGTTGTTTATGCCAGCAGTGTGTGCACAAATATCCGACCTGGTGCGTACTCTGAAGCTTTTTGAGGTCGGGAAAATGCTGTCTGACATCAGTTTTGTTTAAGGGTGTCTGTGCCAGATGGAGGAGCTTGTAAAGAGAAAAAGAGATCAGATCCAGAGTCCCACTTATCAAACTTGACCTGCGAGCTTGTCAGAACAAATGTAAACCACACACAATCATCCAAAACGACTACAAAAACTACATTAATCACCATAGATTTTTGCTGCAGCTGTGAGCAGGCTCTTAGAAAGATGAACAGAACTGTGCAAATACTAAGACAAACTTGAAACATCCCTGTTTTTATACTACCAATCAAAGTGCAGACCTGCAGACAAACCGGTGGGAAGTCAAGATATTCATTCTTTTATGGTTATCCCAAAGGAAAAGCTTTGGGTTGGATCAGGGAATATGTGTTTCTTTTCACATGTCATTGTGTCACGGAACTATGAAAGATATAGTCCAACTGATCAACAACTCCAATGTAAACAAAAATAAACAGTTGTACCTTGACTTTTCGATTCATGTGAACTTTAAATAATACAACTCTTCGCAAAACAACTCACCTTCCAGTTAGATTTTTTTTACCTTTACAGTCTGTAGTATGTATTCTCTGCATCAGTAATAGCTTATTTTCCATGAGATTACAGTTTACACTTAGCGTCCAAAAGTTTGATCAGGACAGATGCAGCATAACAGCCGAATGTAACCAAATCTTCGCAAGCTGTAAAATGTCAGAAGCCCTTCACTGGTTGGGTTAATTGAGGACTTTAAAATCAACAAGTAAACTTAAGTAAAAAAAAAAAAGTATCAAAGGAAAACATGTATCTAAAATAATTTTTTTCCAGGTTTGAATCTGTATTCAACATGAGCTGTGACTGTTTCAATTTTTATGTGCAAAAATCTGAAATAATATTACACGGTAACGCCAAATAAAATGAAACTGCTGGAAATGAACTAATTTCACCTTACAGATTCTTTGTTGGTTTATTTCTTTTCAATGTTTCTGGTTCAAATTTTCAGCAACAGTTAATTAAGGACAGTTAACTGAGGTGATGAGGCATCCCTTACTGATTTTTACATGTGACCCAGACTATATGAAGTCATTGATAATAACTTCTTTGTATAATCATTTCTAAGTACATGCTTTCATTGTTGGTAGAATAAGAACTTCCATAAATCAAAGTGCAGGATTTGTTAGGATTTTAAATGCTTCTTATTTCTGGATTGGAAATTAAAGAAAGCCTTCAGACAAAGAAAAAGCACATGGTAAAGAGAAGTTGTAGGAACATTCTGCCACTGCTCCTTAAGACAGACATTTTACCTTTTGTATTTGAGCCATGTACCAAATGGTCTCTCTGGGGGAACCTATGTGGGAGGACTGAATGCTATAAACCTTTAATCTTTCTTTTTGATCAATGACATTCCAAGCAACAGGAAAGGATTATAGAAGTCAGAGCCACAGTTAAGGAGGGAAAGTTTGTGAAAAGAAATAAAAGTAAACCAGGGATCAGGGAAGATACTAAATCTGACCAGTAGAAGAGGCTCATGTTAGAAACAGATTAAAACCGCTATTAGAGACACTGCTATGATTACTGAATGTTCTGTAGCTCTGTGAACCATGATTTATTTTTATTTGAAAATCATACTTCTGCAATACGTTGAAGGACAAGTAAACATGCAGAAAATAATCATACATTTCAATGTTGAGATTATTATTTTTTTTAAAGATCCAGAAAGAAGAAGCAGCAAACAGAACCGGGCATGAAAGAAAGAGCGTTTCTCCTCAGAACCAACATGGTCCCTCCATTCCCTCTCTGATGGCCTGTAATTGCTGCTCAGCACGGCCGTAGGAAGGCTGCAGCTGCAGGGTGGCTCATCTGGCTGCTTTTCAACGTGCCACTGATTTGTGTGTCTCTTTATGGCTTGTTCACTCTGCTCTTGAAGAATACTCAACTTGTGCACTTGCAGCTTGGCCAGTGGGCTTTTATACGGCAGGGATGCAGAGGAGTAACACACAACTTAATTGGTATCTATAGGTTTAAAGTTAACAACAAACAAGACTGTGTGGCCTAAATGTTTCTCTATACTTCATGACTTTTTTGGGGGGACAAAATCCTTTATGAAAATTAAAGCTGATTCTGTTGCAGAGATTTTTAGGGCTACACATCACACATCTGTTTAGGTGCAGCCATCATTTTCCTGCATTTTGTGGAGAGGGACTGACATGTCTGCAGTGTATTGGGCGAGGGCAGCTGCCTGCAGTCAGAGGTGCCCCATAGGGGGCACTGTTGGTTCTCACGAAGGACCTGTGGCACAACAGGTTGCACCACTTCATTGGTCTTTTCTTTTTCTTTTTTTTTGCCAGCGAGGGCGATGAGATCCACCCAGATAACAGGAGTGATTAAATCACACACTCAAGTTTGCTCTTTTGTCTCTGTGAGGCGTTTATTTCCTGAGTTCAGTGGCATTTTACGAAAGCCTCCCAATCAATAACCTTCTCTGAGATGTATCCCGTACTGCGGTTAACACACATCTGCCATTAACTGGAAACTTAAAAAAAAAAAAAAAAAAAAACGTTGCATATAATTCACAACACAGTGGAAATAAGACGCGTGCTCGTTGTGTGTTCTGCAGGAGCCCACCATTCAGAATTTGGTCCTTTTTCTGATGGCCTACTCTTCTGTTTTTTTTTCCTCCCTCACTCTCTAACTGTTTGAGACAAAAGCGCAATTCCCCTCTGATATGACCAAGGAGTTGTTTCTGTACAGCAGCTGCCGGTGTGACGCCCGCAAACCCTCTCCAATTTGTCGATCCAGCCCGGAGCGCGCACCCCTTCCCCCCCCTCCTCAGTTTCTGCGCCAGCATCCGCGGCCAGAGTGAGGAGAGGCAGGAGCCACTTCCCTGCTCAATCTCTCCTCAGCCACGCTGTTTTTTTTTTCTCCTCTCGTCTGGAAAGTTATAGGACCACATCTCAGACGTTCTAATTTCTAAGTGACGACCAAAGACGAGGGCTTCTGACGCGTTACCACATCTCCCAATATATGGAAAAGAAAAAGAGGAGGAAGAAGAAACGCGAAGTGAAGGAAAACAACACAAACTGACGGGGGTTGGTTTGGCTGTCGCCCGTGGACGAGAAAAATCGCTGCCTGGTTTATTTTGTGAAATTCTATGCCAGCATCAGCAGGACACCGCGCAGCAGAACAAGTGTGCGAGAGGATGACTGGTAAGAGGCGCAGGAGCAGCCCCTACACCACTTCCCCTCACTTATTTGTATTTTGCTCGCAATCTTATTTGATGTCGCTTTTTATTCCTTCATCTTGAGGGGGTAACCCCCTGTGCCATTAGACACCTTATGGGCTGATAAGTGAAAGGTGGATTAATTTCACACAGCCAGAGGCTCTGGGGATGAGCCTCTAACTCAAAAACGAACAGTGAGGAATGAGAGAAGCAGCACAGACAAGTTGATGTGTTGCATTCGCTTTACAAAGTCAGTATTTGGAAGGGAAAAACAAAAATGGACTTTACCTTTTCCAAATGACTATATTTTCCAAATGACTATATTTTTTCACTAATATTTAATCCCGATATCTTTAACTTTGTGTAGTTGTTGTTGGGGGACACTGATTGTGTTCTTTCTGTGTCTGTGGTGGCAGGTCGTGTCAGACGGAGTGCGCCGGGTTTATCTTAAATGGAGATTTGTCCAGAGGGGATCAAACGCGTGCAAAGTTGCGCTGCCTTCTTCTGAGGGACTTACCCACACGGTTTCCCCCTGAACGAACACGAGTCCGCCGAGAGACATGGGGCCAGGCCAGTGCGCGGGGCTCACCGCGCTCCTCCTGTGCACAGGTAAGCCCCCCGGAGGAGCCCAGGCTCACGTCTGAGAGCGCCTGCTCCCACAGCCCAGCCAGCCTGATGGGGGGTGGGGGGGGAAGCTGGTGGCGTTGAAAGCGGAGACACTGTAAATACATCAACCTTTGCTGAGTGATTTCATTCAGCGTGGGACATTTAATGAAATGCAAATTGTATCCTTTCAGACAACAGCGCATATATAATTTATGAGACAAACAATTAGCTGTAAGCTGTTTTGGCAGAAAACAAAATGACTTGTAATATTAACATGAGTGATCTGTGACGGTTGCCTGAAGAGTGCGTGTGTGGGTTGGGGTGCTGTGTTGTGGAGGGCAGAGAGCAGTCTGTGTCTTTGAGCATGGCACCGCAGAGCACCAGGAATAACAACCGGCTGCACACTCAAGCAAGAAAAAACAAAGAGGTGCACCCTGCCCATGCATGTGGTGGATGCTGTCACTGGTGAAAAGGACTTTGCGGGCCTGTGCATGTCGTTTGTACTGGGCTTTGTTTGGCTTCTCCATTATGCTATCCTGTGGGGCAAGATGCTGAAACAACTTGTTTGTCCTTGTGCAGCTTCGTAAATAAAAAACCATCTACTGTGGAGACAAGCAAATGGTGCCATCTTCACAATTCAAATATCAGTCAGAGGCTTTCTCACAAAAGTGCAGACACATGAGGGCAGATGTTCCTCCTGCCCTCATGTATATGTTCCTTGAGAAACACTTCCTCCTCTGCATCTGTACATTTTACACGCCTTTCATATTAATTGTGTAATTATTTATGTTAGTAATGGCGCTCAAGATCCCTTTTGGTAATGAAACCGAAAATGTTGAGCTCAGCACATCAAGCTGAAACCTGGCTGGAGTTGAGAGAAAGAGTAAAGACGGATAAAGGAAAAGAAAAATTTCCTCCTGTGTTTCAACTACCTGCTTTTCAGAGTCTCTGAGGATATTATGTGTGTAAAGCCACCTGATTGCTTTCGACTAGGCTTTACATTGTCCGTGGGAGCTAGATGCACTGGCAGACGAATACCGGGGAATGTACCCACATACAGTGGACGTAGCTACTAGCAGTGGCTAGGACAAAAAAAAGAATAAAATAACATTATAGCAGAAAAAGTAATGAGGGTTTCAGTTACTATTCTACATCTTTGTGATTCCAAAAAACAAAAACAACTCGATAACTTTTTTAGTTCGTCAAAGCATTAAATCTGTTGCTTTAAATTGTTTATATGATAACACTGTGTATAATACTATTTTGCTGTCCCAGATATTCCATCTTAATTTACAGTAAAGTTTTATAGCTTTAGAGACAGAGGAGGGAATCGGTGCACTGTTGGCCAGACTTCTTTTCAAATTCATGCTTTCTGGCAAAATCTCCATGCATAAAACTTAGTCGACATGTGCAGTATTAGAAAGTTTGACGGAAGAGTGCTCTCCCTTCTTCATTTTATCTCACACAGCACAGCTTCCTGCTTTGAGCAGGGAAAAATGAACATAGACACAGACGAGCGCCAACAAATTCAGACTGTTAGGGTTACATTAAGAATGATCAGCACCTGCATTATTCCTGTGAATTTTGTGCCCCAGATCTGACCAGTTCAAAGACGAGAGTGAAAGATACCATACCATCCTTTTCATAAAACGACCACAGAGAGGCGGTTTTTCGGGCAACACCAGGAATTTTAATCGCTCAATGTGTTCCCAAATGATCCCTGAGTTTATTCCGACTACTGCAATCAGTAGTGTCATCAAACAACAGCCTTGTGCTTACAGCTTGAGGGAAGCCTTCCCCTGCCCATTTTAAAAATTTTGTTCAGCTATTTGTCCACATTTTTATCACTGAAGGTATGATTGTAATGACTTGGCATGCTAAACAAAATTTGCGGAATTTTTAAAGTTCCAAAGTTGAGATTCAAATATGAAACCCTGAATGCTTGCCTTACAAATGAATGTTCAATGGATTTAATATTCCAGACCAATCCTGTCTTTCACCTTCCTCAGTTTTCTACCTTTGCAGATTGGCAGACATCTCGCGTAAGATTTTAGCTCACAATCTTAAGGTGTGAGACCGCTGGTCTGTATAGTAAGGCTGGGTTTATTCAATTAAGTGCAAACACTCCAAATCTAAGATTGTATTTGAAGGGCTCTTGTGTTTAATTTGCTTAGCTTCCAATCTGCCAAACAATTCTGCACTGTGCAGCCTGACTGCGTTCACATCAGCGGAAAAGAACATACAGAGAACATTGCTGCTCTAACAGTACAAACAGCCGTTACAGTTTCAAAGTCTAATTTGATAAAAACCTAAGAAATTTTGTTTATAACCAGACAGACAGTTGTCTGTATGGCATTCCTTTGCATACCCACCTAATATCAATCTTTAATGGTAATTTGTAATAATTAATTAATCACCTGTGCTGGATTAATAAAGAGGTGGTTGGCGATGAAATTACCCTAGTTTTCCCCGTGTGACTACAGGATCATAGTTGTCGCTCTCAGACTCAGCTCAGTATGGCTTCAGATGTATATTCCCATCTGCTCACATGAACTTCATTCTTCTTAAACTGTCTGAAATGTTCATTATGAAATCTTATATTACATCAGTTTGAGGGTCATAGGTTTGAATGCTCATTTTACAGTTGGGCACACTTTTCGTCTTTACCTTTTGACTTTGTTCCAGTTGTTTGCTCACTTCTTGGCACTTTGTATTCTCTTCCAAGTGCTTGATCCTGATGCTACTGTCATCTGAGATTGTCACATGCATCACAAATGACCTCTTAAGCCCCTTGTCAACCACAGCTCTGTTTGGTTTGTTGACAGGCAGCAGCTGCTGCCATCGTGGTTCTTAAGATCCCATGGGATCTGAGCACTTTTTGTTGTCAACCACTTTCTGTGGTGTATCCCATTGAGAGTTGAAGATTTCAAACCCAATCGTGACTCAGATGTTACTTTTCACCAACCGAGCCTCTTGATTTAGCCTCTTTTTGTACACTGTTCCTTATTGTATCTTACAGCTGCTTTGTGCTAGACCGTTAAAAATATAGAGAAATGTAAAATAAATCATATTCGTGATGCCCTCAAACATGGTCATGATGGTCCTGCTATAGAACAAAATAAGACCAGTTGATGAGCAGGAAGATTCAGAGTTACAGTGTAACACAATGTCTTCCACAAGATATGACACTCATAAACATAAGGGACAACTCTTATGAAGGGCCTTTTTTTTCCCTCGATGGATGGGAACCTTTCCTTGTATTGTAGTTTTGTGTACTCTGGATCCAGGATTATTATTTGTGAAGACCGGGCTGACAGGGTTCAGGCCTTTGTAATACAGGAGGTGTTTCTGTAGAGGGAGTGTGGTACATGCTGTACACATTGATAACCTCAGAAAAACTGACCTGGGGTATTGTTTTCTTCTGCAATACCAGAGGTGTCAGAGTACTCTGGTTGGTGTAAGCCTTCTGTTTATCCTCTGTTCCCATGAGCA